CGACCCCCGAAGAAGCGGTTGATGCATTCAAAACGCATGTTTTGGAGTTACCTCAATCGGACTGGAAAAAGTGCTTTGAAAATTGGTTCAAACGCATGCAAAAGTGTATTGATCATCATGGAGAATATTTTGAAAAACAATAAAACCAATTTCGATCCTACATATTTGTTTTTTCATTATTAGGCGAGAAATATAAATAGCAACCCTCGTAATATCAAAAGTGTGGAGAATTGCGGCGGCCGCCAGCTGGAATAGAGTTGCCAGAGCGTCATTTTCATAATTATTAGAATTATAGACATAATAACAATTAGAAGAAATATGTTTGCTGAAAATGCACAATGGAAACACCCTGTACATGTCAAAAATGCGTCGAGCAATGAATTAAAAATTCTTATTCTTTGTGTTTGTAATACATAAAAGTTGGCAATTTACATTTTTGTTTAATAACAATTAAGTTATTTTAGTTGATTTCCTTCCTAACATCAATATTTCATACATTAAATCAAGAAACATAAAGTTGACCAGCTATGGTAGAAATTGGTATATATTGGTATGTTTAGTGTTAATAGCATATTATGATATTGATTCAAAAGTTATGTCCTTTGTAGGTACTTACACACGAACTTTTAGCTGTCCGTGAAGCCTGTATGAAATTAGAGGCGGACTATAAGCCAGGCATCACATTCATTGTGGTTCAGAAACGACATCACACGCGTCTCTTTTGCTCAGATAAGAAGGAACAAATAGGCAAGAGTGGGAATATACCAGCTGGAACTACTGTTGATGTGGGTATCACTCATCCCACTGAATTCGATTTCTATCTTTGCAGTCATGCTGGGATTCAAGTAAGTTCTTCTCACTTACATGTTATTTGAAAAGTTCTTTCTTTCAGTTAAGTATTTTTCTGACTGCCTCAGTCCAGGGGTGATTGTATTCCAGGTTTTTCGTCCATCTATTGTTACAATTGCTTCTATAAACACATTTTTCTAGCACTTCTCTCGTCAATTTTTTTAACTATACTTAAATTTTTCTTTTTTCACTCCAATTTAACTGTCTCTCTCTCTGCTAGTATGACAGAAAACGAAAAATCAGAGTTCTGCAGTATTTTTTTTCTTTTTTTTTTTAAATATTGTTTATATCTAAATTATATTAAATATTGTATTAATATATAATATTAAATATTGTTTATATCTAAAAAGATGGGCAAAATTTTAGGAAGTGATAGTACACACCCAAGCAAACAATTTTTATCAAAGAATGCATGGTCGAAAACAAAACGCAAAGGTGTTGGCGCATTTGGAAAGTTGTTTGATGCAAACGTGAAAGCTCCATTCCTGTTGCGAGTTACTGCGCTGCGTTACTTGTCGCCAAGCTTTCGGTCGCTGCAGGGAAAGTTCGTGATATGCCTGGTGTGTTTCAGAATGTTCGCCTATCTTTTCTTAGCCGTTGTACTGCCTGCATAGCCGCTGCCGGCCACTGTTTTGAACACTTTTTGTAATCATATGCCATTAAATTTGCTTTTATAACTTAACTTCATTGTTCTTTGTGTGTTTTTGCCTCATATAAGAACATAAACATGGACGTTCTCTAGCTGTTATGCGTTTTGTTTTCGACCATGCATTCTTTGATAAAAAAAACACTTCCTTAAATTTTGCCCATCTTTTTAAAATCACCCTGTATATATAGTTTTGTTACTTTATACCTCATTTTTAGAAGAACCAAAAAATCTGAATAAATACTTAATTAACATTTATTGTAAGTTTAATAAAATGTATTGTAAGTTTAATTTTAAAATTTGAAACAATAGTAGAAGGGAACAATAACTTCGAACAATATTAATAATCAGTATTTTACATAAAGTAAAAAGCTGTAAATAAGATCGTAATAAACAGTAACTCTTGTTTAATTTTTTGAGTTGCATTGTATTCTAATTGTTGAGCAATGTTTTGCTCTTCAGAGTTTTTATTTTTTTTAAACCGTCGTTGAACAGTCAACCCAATTTTTTTGATTTACAACTATTAATATTCAACTTCGTAGCCTTGTAATTTTGAACACAATCAAGAAGACAAGGATCAAGTATTGGGAGAAATTTTAATTCGTGTATGGAACTAAGCCACATTTGGTTTACATAGAGAGGAAAACCTTCCAAAATTATACTGACTGCAAGAGTATTCTAACACATCCATCTACCACTGAGGATATTTTACGCCAGCACTGTGGTCAGTGCAAGCTAGATATGAAATTTGTGCAAAAATGAAATAAGTTAAATATTAGTCTTTGTATGATTTTAAAAAGTGCTTATTTTTGATTCAAAGATTTGGCTACGCACCCTGTAATAAAAAGAAAAACCAAAGTTTTACTCTATAAATGTCTTATACCATCAGTGCTTACATACCTGGACAATGACCCGTGGAGATGAAAATATGATAGCTAGATTTGAGAGAAAAATACAGTGAAGAATTTTTGGTGGAATAAATAAAAACGGTACCTGGTTTAGAAGATCAGACGCGTTACTTTACAAATCATATAAAGAACCTGATGTCATTACATTTTCAAAATTCAAAGGATTTTGGCAAAGGCAGGCCACATTATAAGAATGGAGGATAGCAGGACAACCAAAAAAAGTTTTCAGTGCCAGGCCAACAGGTACAAGGAAAAGAGGACGACCAAACCTGGACTGCCTTGAAAAAGACCGACAAGTTTTAAAGATAATAAATTGGAGAACCTTGGCTAAGGGAAGAATGTCTTGGCATAGGCTTGTTGAGAAAGCCCATCCTGGGATGTCTTGCCAATGAGAAGAAGAAGATAGTTTTTAAAACGAGGGACAGCACAAAGTGATACTTTCCGAACGCAGTAAAGTGATACACCTTTTTTCTTCTATGTAAATCCAGCAACTACCTTATATACAATCGCACAAAACAAGAGTGCAGTTCCACAATCCAGCAGCAAGACTCCGATATAAAAATTGGCAAACTTTCAATCACAGTTATCTTTTTTTTGCATGCTTCCAACGGAGTAAAAACACAATAAAACAAAACGTACTGACTACTGCAGACTTTTCTCAGGGATAATAAATATTTTCAATACCCGAGTTAACTCAGGATGATCAAGGAAGTGGTTAAACAGTTAAAAATTATTAAAATAATTATTAAATATTCAGTGCTCTCTCTCTTAATCAGTTCTGACAAATTAATACCCTCTTTTTAATCTACGTGAACGCCCATAATTTTTTAATGAATTATGACCTTTTGAATCACTGTAATAAAATTTAATTTCTTTTAGGGTACGAGTCGTCCATCACATTACCATGTATTGTGGGACGACAACCAGTTCACGGCTGATGAGCTTCAGTGTTTAACGTACCAGCTGTGTCATACGTATGTGCGTTGTACAAGGTCTGTCTCCATTCCAGCACCTGCATACTATGCTCATCTTGTGGCATTTCGTGCCAGATATCATCTCGTTGAAAAAGATCATGAAAGGTAATTTCATTCTGACGCAAGTCCTATTTAAAAATTATTATACGTGGTGCGTGTAGCATTTTTAAAAAGTGCTTATTTTCATTTTTAAAAGACTTTAGAACTGCTTTTTTTATTGGGTGTTTTTAAAAAGTGCTTAATTTTCTCTTTTCGATAATTAGATTTTTTTCTTTACCGTGTCTCTTTTCGCCAGGGTAAAGCGTGCTTTTTTATTATGCAAAAGCGTGCTTTTTTATTGTTCTATCCAACATTTTCACAATTCATTCAACAATCCATTTGGTCGTACCACCGGTCTGTAGCGTATGAAAACACTTATCATTTTACACTTTAGATGAAATACTTGCGAGTCTGCAAGTGCGCCTACTAAGCTGGGTTTGGTGAGATTCTTGCACTCTTCATGTGCAGCTCTGCTGCATTTAGCCAGATATTATAAATTTCAGACTTCATTTTCTACCCTCTGATATCAAACCGAGAAATCTCTTGATCATTTTACAATGCCTAATATAATAATAAGAAAAGAGTTCTTTGTTAGAAACTAGTTATTTTATCATGGTCATGTTAAGTCTTGGAAAATTATTTTTCAATTTGTTAATGCATATAGTGCTTAAAAATATTTTCGGGGTGCTGAAAAAGTGCTTATTTTTTCTTGAAAGATTTGGCTATGCATCTTGCAGAAAAGTTCTTTAGTAAATATATTTTCTGTGCATGATAGATTCTGCAGATATAGCTTGTTAAATAAAAACAAGTGCTGTCAAATTCTTAAAATGCAAAATTAGCTGTTTAGTGGAATGAACTTTTTTCAATATCAGAGCAATTCTTTGCACTATTTTGCTGACAAGAAGTGTTCGTTCAAGCGTAGTTATAAAAAGTAATTTGTCATGAAATAGTTTTTTGTTGAAGGCCCTGTGGCTGAGCGTTGTCGTGCCACAGTCCCTTGGTTCGATCTTGGGACCAGACACGGTTGACTCAGCCTTTCATCCCTTGTGGGTCGATAAAATGAGTACCAAGCAGGCTTGGGAACTAGACACTGGGGGTTCTCTGGGCTGACCTCTAAACCAGAACATCTGCTCTTGCACTCCAAAGCACAAAGGTCTCTATATGCTGTCATGCCACTGATTTTAGGTTTTCTGTTGAAAGAAAAGGTAAAAAACATGGTACATGGCATTTTTAACAAGTGCTTAAAGGTGGTTTTTTTTTGGGTATTTTTAAAAAATTGCACTAAGTGCCTTCTCACGTTGAAAATTTTTTTCTTCACTATGTTCTCATATTATGCAAAAGCGTGCTTTTCACATTGTTCTATTCAACATTTTCATAATTCATTCAGTCACAATCCATATCCGCCTACTGTCGGTCCACAGCATAAGAAAACGCCTATCATTTTATATGTTTCATGAAATACTTGCGGGTCTGCATTTTTCCTACTGAGCTGTGTTGGGTGAGATTCTAACACTCTGGCGTGCAATTCTGTTGCATTTTGCAAGATATTCTCAAGTTCAGGCTTTTTTTTCCACCCTCTGAAATCGAATTGAAAAATATCTGTCTTTTTATAACGGCTGATATAATCAAGAAAAGAGTTTTGTCAGAAACTAGTTATCTTATCACGATCACGTAGTCTTTGAAAATTATTTTGCATTTTGTTAATGTATATAGTGCTTTTAAAAATTTTTTGAGTACTTAAAAAGTAATTAAAAGATGATTATTTTCTGATGAAAGATTTGACTAAGGACGCTGGTTAGAATGTTTTTTTGAATTTACCTTAACCTATTATTCTTGTTTCGCAGGGGTTTAAAGAAATACCTAAATTTTAAAACATTTATCAAAATAATGTTTTAGTATTTTGACTAAGAATGGCTCTGAAATAAAATGATATTTTGAATAATTGATTATAATTTGCCTCTTAAAAACATGTTGCATAATTCTGCATTGATTTTTAGGCAGGATTTGGGTGGTGGAAGCCAAAGCTTGAAGTAAGTATTAAAAAACATAAAACAAAAAAAAAGACTTTCTAGATGTTGCTTCCATTCAAAATGCTGTTGAAGAGATGCAACCATGACTCTTCTTCTTCCATAACACCTGCCTGCCTTTTAGTTTATTTTTGGTTAATATTTAAATTGCTTCCAACAACAACAACACACAAAAAGTAGTAGTAGCCTCTGCTTTTTTTTCCATTCAGCATGAGAATGGATTTTAGTTCCCTGCCCTCCTTCCCCGCCCCAAAACAAACAACGCTTTTTATTAGCACTTGGCAAATTATCTGTATATTTTTTTTGATATTTTGCATGTTGAATTGGAAAGAAACCTTTTTTTTTTATTTTGATGTTACGCTGGACAGTAGATCGCATGATGTAGTTTCGTAAAAAAATAATGCAGTGAGTGTGCTTCTGTGCAGACGGAAATTTCGGACTCCTTGTTTTCTGGGAAAGGGATGCCACTAGGGTACTTGAAAAATGGTGATAAAAGGAAAAAGTACTATCCTATCTGTTGTGATGCCACAATAGGGATTTCCTAACCTTAAAAATTACTTTTTAATCATTCTTAATTGAACTTTAATTAAACCTATTATTTGATTTTCATTACATCTATAAAAAGTGAATATAAAATATTTTATTTTTTTCTGAACAATCAATGTAATGGCTAACTTTTTAGTTCAGTACTAATGTAGATTCATTAATTCACTGTTATGACTAAATTGAAAAAAATGTTTTAGTTGCATGATTATACTAATTTTCAGTCTTTTTTTTTTTTTTTTTTTTTTTTTTTTTTTTTTTTTTTTGGCGATTCGCTTTTGCCAAATTATTTTCAAATTTAATATGGATTATGAGGGGTTGGCTCTATTTTGGTTGTTATCTTTTGATAAATTGCCTGCAATGGATATCTTCCTATGCTGCTAACTGTCCCTTGGGAACAATTAATTTACTTTTAATTTCCTATTATTGGCGGTTCGACCGAGGGCTTCAGCCTCCAGGTCCCGGCAGTTGAATATATATCTTAAGAAAAATCTTTGACTTGATTTTCCTAAACCCTTAGAGGGACTTTTAAAATTTTGGAATATGGCCATGTTCAATTTAATATTAACTTAATAAATCAATTTTTAAATCTCAACTCTTACTAAATTAGCAAAAATAATTCAACGCCAGAATTCTTAACCCTTCATTTCACACTATTACTGCAAAAAATAGTCAGAAATATTTTAGAAATTTACAGCTCACGTAAAGTAAGCTGTAAATTTCTTAATTCTGTTAAATAAACCCTAGACTGTGTTAATTCATCAAAAAGTAAGTTGAGTCTTGAATTTTCTTTAAGAAAGGCACTTATGCTCATGTACAAAGAGCACAGTGATTGTGTTTTTCCTCTTAACATATTGTGTATAACATGTACAGGGAATTTTTTAAAAATTTTTAGATTTGAGGGGCAATTCTGGTAAAGTTACAAAGTAAGCTACGAGATTCCGAGCATTTCTGCACAAACAGTCAGAGAATTATGTCGACCGAGAGAAATTTTTCCTTGTTTCTGGCTCTCTGTTTTTGTTTGATAGTTTCATTTTTACTTGAATAAATAAATAGAAAACTAGAACACTTTTAGCTAGAAATCTAAATTTGTGTCATTTGCTTTTTCAGTGGTGATGGAAGCCTTCAGTCTACAAACGGTGAAGATAGAAATCCCCTTGCAATGGCTAGAGCAGTCACTGTGCACACAGACACTAACAAAGTGATGTATTTTGCATAAATCATCAGTTTTTATCATCTGGTTGAAAGAGGAATATTTATGATAATTTGATGTTTGTTTGTTTTTTAAAAGAGAGAGAGAGTAGGGGGGAAGTGCCATGTATGTTGGGTTTTTCATTCTCAGGACAAAAAAAAAAAGGATTTTTTCTCTACTGCCACGGACTCTGGTCATTTCTTTTTATGTGAGACAAGTTTGCTGTGGGACGTTTATTCTGTTTAACTTTTCTTTTTTAAATTCATATTATTATTTGTTCTGTCATTTGCTTTACTTATCGAAGCGGACCCGATAAAGCCGACCCGGGCAGTTAGAAGTGTGCAAAACTGAAACTTGCCTGAATTTATGTTGTGCTGACAGTTCTAATTCACTTACATACGTAACTTAAAGTACAGAAAAGAGTTCATGTAAACCTAGAGTGAACCTTGAAGTATCAAATGCGGGGGGAAAAAATTCCAATGCATCAAAATGCAAACAAATTGTGGGAGGAATATGCAGTGGGTAATTTATTTTGAAATAATTTGTTTGCATTTTGGTAGTCAGTAAAAATGTTTTAATCTCTGTGGCAGAATTTTTTTAGGCTTTCTGCCACAAGTCTCAGCATTAGTATCTTTCTGCAAGATACTATTAATATGCATGTTATTAATTAAATTTTTAAATTTAAAGCGACAGAAACGCTGTATTTACAGAAAAAGCTTATTTGAAAATAATGAAATTTTATGTATTTTTTAAAAAATAATTATGTAATTTTTTTTTTAATTCTAATATCGAGGGCGATATTGTCATATTTTTTTAGATAAAAAAACACTACTTATTTCTTTTTTCACATTTTGTAAATCATCATCAAATAAAAAACTTATTATAAATCGTAAAATTTGTGAAAGAAAAGAAAAGCATTTTTTTTTTCTGTAATTTTCCCAAATAAGAATTTTTAAAAAAAATACGTGAGCATTTCTTCCCCTCCTATGCTTAAAAAAGACATCTATTGAATATAATTGTGGAGGAAAAAAATCTTTCAAACATTTCTACAGAAAAGAAATTTTTTTTTTTGCTTAAATATTTTTTATTTTTCATTCTTCTAAAGTAAGAATCGAAAAATTTCGATCATTTCTTTCCCATCCGATGCGCGAAAAAGTTATTTTTTTAAATATTAATTTTAGAGAGAAAAAAATTCAAAAATTTTTGCAGCAAAGAAAACCAAAATTTTGCTTTATAAAAGGAAAGTTCTTTCTGCAAGAACTCTAACATTCTGCTACAATGTTGCTGTGATTCTGCCACGGGGTTTTTTAGTGTGGTTTACTCCAGGTTTAACTGAATTCACTTTTATCTATCTTGTTTTAAAATACCAACGGGTGTGAAAAAGAATGAAAAGTGTCTCCTAGAATATAATATTCTCTTACCTAAAAAGTCTGGTGTTGCTAAATTTCATTCCATTCCTTTATTTTAAATAAGCTTCTGAAATAAAGAAATCTTCACGAATGACTTTTTTTTACTCTATTGGTTGCTTGCTAAGTAATTAAGTTAACCTCAAAAGAAAAAAAAAGTAAATTTTATATCATGTCTTTATTGTAATATGTTTTAATTTACTCTTTTAAAGAAGAAAAGAGTCGGAAATTTTTTATACGAATGCTTTCATTTTAAAGTAAATTTGAGGTATTTATTTTTTGTAAGAAAATTTGTAATTTAGTGGTTATTTTAAAAATAACTCTAGCTATTTAAGCATAACTTTGTTGCCAGATGCTGTGCTTAATAAAACAGTAATGCTAAAAAATCTGTTTTACAAAGTACAAACTGGCAACTAAATGGTTTGCCGGGTCAGTTTTATTTTGTCCGCTCATTAATTCTCTCTCCTCATAATTTATTGCCATGAGTTATCCGAGCACGAATATTTTACGAGACAATTTGACGAAAACTCATTTTGAGACTTGTTATAGTTCAATATTTCTGAGCTATGTGTCGATGACATAACTTGTTTTTTTATTATTTATTTTTAATTTGAGGATTAAAATGAATCAATACAACTTATCCATGGGGAATAGCTTTATCTCCATTAGCATGTGTTTTTTAGAATCACCGTCCATATCTGGCAGGACCAAATTTTAATTGTGCGCCAAATTTCGTTACAACAATAACTATTGTTTTGTACCTTCACTTCTAGTTATCCTCTTAACTAATACCAATCAATGATAATGTTCTTCCTTTTTGAAAAACCTGCTGTGTGCATCGTTTCAAAGCTTTTTTTGTGGGGGGGATCTAAAGCAAAAAACTATGTGTCTTTCAGTATTTACTGGTTCCATGGGGATTCCAGTATTAATCTTGCATATGTGTACATACATATTAAATGAACGGGCTTTTAATTGAATTGCACACTGGATTATTTAGAAAAAGCCAAATGTTGTAAATCATTCCTTATTATAATAATGAATTTTAATGGAAAAAAACAAATGATTTCACTTATTTTTTATTTATGCAATGATGTGTTGTTACGCGTGAGGAAATTGCTTTTCTGCATTGACTCACGTTTGAGAAATTTGTGCCACTTTTTAAAGAACCAAAGAATCATGTGTGCTTCAACTTGCATTTGGAGGGAGGTGGAAATGTGTGTGATAATTTTTATTATTCCCTCCCCCCCTTTTTTTTCTTTACAACTAAATATCGAAATTATATCTTAACAAGGTTTGTTCTTCTCTTACTTAAATTGATTAAATAATACTAATTCAGGGTGCGTAGTATTTCTAAAAAGTGCTTATTTTTTCTTTACGTTTTTTAAAAGTGCTTAACTTTTTTTATCTTTTGAAAAGAGATTTTTCTTCGCCTTATCGATTGTCGTTCTGAGTTTCGAAATTTTCTCTGAAATATTTATCAGAAACTAGTTAGTTTATCATAATTATGTACAGTTTTTGAAAATGTTTTTGAATTTTATTGATTTTATGTTTATAAATTGAGAACTTTAAGCAATAGTTTTTTTTTTTTTTTACTGCACAGATCCTAATTATTATTTTTTTGGAAAGTGATTAAAAGTACTTTCTGAGTGCTTAAAAAGTACTTAAAGTGCTTATTTTCTGTTGAAAAGTCTGGCTACGCACTCTGTAATTGAGCTTTTTTTCTCTTTTGTGGTGCAGAACCTCTGACTAATGTACATTTCATAGATATATAGTTTCATAGCTGCCAACTCTACTGGATTTTGCCAGTTTCTACTGGTTTAATTAAAATTCTCTTGTTTTTTGTACATTTTAGAAAATTCTCTAAAATTGAATAAGTTTCCTGAAAAAAAAATCCCTATTGCAAAACTTTTTGTACAGATTATTGCATATATATTTAAATAAGTATTACTGATACATAATGAAGCCATCCTCATTTATAGAAATCAGTTCAAAGCTTTTTTTGGTCTAAAATATTCAGTTTATTCAGAACTCTTTTTCTAAATTAAATCTTTTAACTGTTTTTGATGAATTAACTATTTATAATCTTACCTCTTATAATTTATATTCGAAATTAGGAGTAAACATAATGCATAACATTTCGAGTATGTTTAATGTGAAATCATGTTTGGAAAATATTGCAGTTTATCTATTTGTTTACTATCTCTAAAATTCCCTATGTGTGAAATATTGAGTATGTTATGTAATAATTATTATAAAATTTTATTATTTCGTAAAATCTACAGGATTTTTTTCTTATCCATGTTGGCAGCTATGTATTTTGCACATAAAAAGGTTGGGTCAAAGTGTTGTAGTATCTTCATCATGTAACATATCTTAAGCATTCTTTAAATTTTACATTTATTATTTCAATAGTACTCTTTAAAAAGTCACCTCTCTCTGTTATCATTATATCTGATTCATGTGCCACTCTTCAGTCCTGAGAAAAGATCAATGGGCTGAAATCGATCCACCAAATAATATCTATTTCCAATTTTGTTTGCTTTCAATTTTTTAATAGAATTAAATTTTTGTTTTTTCTTCAAAAAAAAAAAACTAAACTATTACTTTCTGCCAATTTAATTTAAAAAAAATTATAAGATAATTATAGAAATATGATACAACTTAATGAAGTTAATGTGAAAAATAAGTTGATCTCAAATAAAAAAAATTGTGGCGTAATTCAGAGATTGGCGTCAAAAGATAGGTTAGCTGTTATTTTTGTTCTGTTTGCTGTAAAATAAAGAAAATATATATTTAAAAGAAATGTAATCAAGTCATTGATATAATATATGGGTCATTTTCGTCCATAAATTTCTGCTAAATTGGGCTAGGCCGTGTTCATTAGTCAACAAATAAGTTCAGTCTTTTTTTTTTTTAATAATTCCCCCCATGTTCATGTAAGAAGTTGGAATAAACTGGTGCAGAGAAGGAAAAAAAATTATTTGCTGTAACTGTGGTAACAGAGTGTGACAACTGAGGAAACCCCACAACTTTGTGACTCCCTATTATTCCATTTATAAAGAATCAATACAATTGCTGTTTCAAAAATAAATTCATACCATCCATGTCTTTAGCAAAATAATTGAGCAATGGAACAAATGATTACCGAAATAAAATTCTAATGCATTAAAATGACTTTTTTTTTCTTGCTATTGTAGCATAAAGAAATTGTCTATTATGTTTGGCAGAAGCCTATAAAATCTCTCATTTTATTGAAGAAAGACTTATAAAGAGTTTATATTTATTTCAAATATATTTATATCAATGGTATATAAGCACTATGGAAAATAGATGTTTTGAAATCTATTGTATGGCCACCTTAGACTTTGTTTATAGAATTTCCTTTATATGTTTTGTGTTACAGTAAACAATTCAATTGTCATTAAATCTTTATCTAATTTTAAAGTTCGATCTGTATTGGATTCTCTGCAGTTTCCTGGAGCTGAAGCTTTAACTTTTCTCTTGTTCCTGAGATCTTCTAGATTTTTAATCATCTTTTTTTTCTCTCCATTTTTTAAAATTTTTCGGGCTGAAAATAAAACAATGAAAGATTTCTCTGCTTTTAATTTATTAATGATTTACTAACACAGATAATTTATGCCTGATTAATATATTTTACTTGATTTAGAAAAAAAAAATTAGAGGTTATGCAGTATTTATTTTCTTTCTTGTATATAATAATTATGACATTCTATTATCTAAAATATAATTTTTTAAAATTAAAACATTTTTTTTGTTTCAATAATAAATATTCATTTTTGATTTGAAATTGATATCTGAAAGCGCTCATGAATAAATAGAGCTGGAGCATTGAGTCCTCTTATGGAATATTTTTATTACCTAAATTTCTGTCTTGGAGAAATGTTTTTTGAGAATTCTTAATGTTAGGTGCATTTACCCAAATGCAGCACTTTCTATTATTGTATGTATGGCATTGGAATCACTTAAAATTGTCTAATAAAATCAGTAGGATATGTTACATTTTGTGATATTATTTGTTGTCGAAGTAATATAACTTGCATTGAGTGTCCATGTAATACTCTTTGTTATATCTTGACACTACTATGTTTATTGAAAGAAAAGTTTTTTAATATTCTAATTATCCTCCACCTTTTTTTCTCAATTTTATGAATAAGAATGTATAAATTATAAAAAAAAAATATTATTTGACAATTTCTTTGAAAATATGCAATTGAATTTTGAACCAGCAATTAACAACATGAAGGGAATTCTATAAAAGAATGCTGTTCTTTAATAATCGTGCGATGAAAAAAAAAATTTGAACAAATATATAATTGGCATTTAAGAAATCATCAAGGTTTTTTTTAAGGAGAAACAATCACTGAATACGGGATGAATTTATAACCGGTTAATAAAGAACTCTCCGGTGTGATTACCGGTGTATGAAAAGATTAGTCTTTATTTACAAATGAAAAGAGTGTTTCTTTAGCTTGTGTGATTTTATAGGGGCCAATTTGTCTTAAATTTTGCAGATATTTTCCTTTTGACTTAAGTAGAAATTCAGTTCATATTTTTATTTAAAAAAAAAACAACACATTTTTGTTTTTTGATGCCTATAATTTAAAAGAAGTTCATTATTTATTTACTTTTTTTTAAAAAAAAAAAAAAAATTTGTTTTCCAAGATGTCAGTTTTTACCAGCATGGGTCTCAACTTCTTTAAATGTTACCAGTTTTCCTTCATTTAATGAAACAATTTCAGAAAATTACCTAAACTGGGAAAAGTTAATACAAAAAAATCTCATCGAGAGATTTCTTTTTTGAAGAAAAAAAAACTTGTTTTTTAAAAATTCAGATAGTCAGTGGTATGTCGATAAGCAATATATATACATAATCTATTTTTTTTCTTTTAAATGTAATCATTTTTTGTTAAAGTTTAAATTCAATTTAAAGAAAAAAATTATCTCGAAATTTTGAATGTCGTCCAAAAATAAATTACAACTATAACTTATCAAAGTTATGAATTGAAGAGTATAATACTAAAACAAATGTTCAAATCTAGTTAATATCCATCAGAAACGGAACCGCCATTTTAAATTGAGTGTCATTTTGTTAAATCTACTGTTTTTATTTTTCGATTTTATGCTGACTGCTAAGTGCTTGTTAGCCACTTAGAGCCATTGTGATTTGAATAAAATGTCTCGCAATTTTAAAGATTGATTTTGGCCACTACGTGATTGTTTCTCTCTTTCATTCTATGCTACAATCGTGATTATTTTAAGAATAGCTATTTTATGGTCATTTCAACTAGAAATAATCTGTTGTCCAACTTTTTATGTACCCAGTATATGCAGCACAGACAAAATGCTGTATGCACTCATTAAGAATGCTGTTTTAAGTTGGAGTTGCTACTCCTATTTTAGGAAAGCACTGTAAAATCAAGCACCCATATTTTTTAAAATTAGTAACTGTAACCCATCATGTCTTGTCATAAATTATTTTTTGTTTTGATATGCCTTTTCATTTATATATTTGTGTGAAATGCTTGCTAAATATATAATATATAATTTTACATCTTGTAAATATTTGCAAGGTTCTTAACAAAGAAATTTCTTCAATCGATCTGTAAATTGTCGGTAGTAATCATTTACTTGTATATGTTAAATGTAAAATATTTGTTTTACCCCCCTGAATTTTAATTAATGATAGAATGTTTTTATTAAGTTGCATGTTTGTGTTTGTATACAGATTCCACTTCATTATTTAAAATTGACTATTTAAAGAATTATTGTATTTACTATTCCTTTTGATTGCATTTACTGAGTGCATATATATGTATACATACTCATACATATATATAATATGCATGCATGCTTTAATAATTGTCAATATATTTTGTTAATGTTTTAATCTAACCTCAGTATTTAGCATTAATTTTTTTTTTTTTGTCTTACATGTCATTCTATTGGGTTGTAGATTATGTGTATTGTTTGGCACAGACATTGATGACTTAATTCCTCGAGCACTCGTATGTTTGGCCAGGAAGTCTTACTTGTCTTATTATATGACACTATTTATGAGTACTGTTAATAGGTACAAATCTTCTTTGCCCTATTATGTGACACTATTCATGAGTACTGTTATTAATAAAAAAACAAATTCCTTTTGTGTTGTATAATTTTATATGCATACTAATAATCAACTTTGAAAAACGTAGTTGTGAGCTCCGCTTCATTTTGACAGTTTCACTCGATTTAATAAAAGTTTTTTAAGGAACATTTTAATCTTCGCATTTTTTTAAAAAAGAATCTAATGATCAAAAATGAATGTGAGGATTATTCATTCCTTAAACGATATATATTTAAGAATATAATGAACGTGATAAAATTGCTATAGTTTATTTGAAATCTAAAATTTATAGGCACAATGAGAAAACAACTCGTACGAGTGACGTCATTTTTATTAAAATATTCAAAAGTTTTACATCCTTCATAAAGAGGAAAAGATTGCAAAAATAATTTAAGTCATTGATATCTGTCCTGTTATTTGTGTCTCTAATCAAACAATGGAATATTTCTGTTTTTCAAAACCCATCTAAAGACAATTAGTGAGTGTTATATGCTTTTATTTTCTGAAAATCCTCTCCCTCCAAAAAATACTTGTAACTACAATTAGCTGTAATTCCTTTATGAATATGGTAAATCATGAGTTCTTTATTTCAATAAAAATTTTAACATCTACACAAGTGTTTGGAAGATTAATATATACTTGTTTTTTTTTTCTTCTCATTTTTCTAAAAAAAAAAAAAAAAGTGGAATTTTAATGAGTGGTGGATTTGATTTGTTGAATGTATTCACACAACTGTGCCATAGAATATTGTGTGTGTTTCAAAATATCATTGGTATATTTGTGGTTTAATATTTTTACTGTTTGAGATGTTCTAATAATTTATATGGCATGGATTGAAATAAAAAGTCCCATCCTTCATACATTTTCTTTTTAAAACTCTCCGCCCATTCATTCTTTTCATAACTCTTATTATCTAACAGGGTGAGTAGCGTTTTTAAAAAGTCCTTTAAGGTGCTTTTTTCATAGGGAGTTGCTTTATTTTTCCATTTTCCAAAATGAAATATATTTTCTTTACCCTATTTATTTTCGCCACGAATTATGCAATTGACATTGTTCTATTTAGCGTTTTCATAATTCATTCAACCCCAATCTATTTCAGTGGTCCGTAGCATACGAAAACTCCTTCCGTTTTTACGTGTTTGATGAAATGCTTATGGGTCCGCATGTGCGTACACTGAGCTGGATTCAGAGCGATTCTTCCATTCTCATGTGCAACTTTGCTGCATTACACAAGATATTATGAATTTCAGGATTTAGTTAGTTTTTTGAATTGATAATTTAAAAATACTTCTTATATATAAGGTAATATCCTTACACCAACATTTTGGGTTTTTGACTAATTGTCAAAAACTTGACCACTCTGCCAAATTATAATATTTTTAAAGTGCTTAAAATTTTTTTTTTTGAGTGCTTGAAAAATGCTTAAAAGGTGCTTACTTTTGGTTGAAAAATTTGGCTACGCGCCTTGTCGAAGCCCCAAATGTTTATATATTTTATTTTTTTTTAAAAAGCCCGCTTCTGGAGCTTCCCCTCTGCATGAATTAAAAAAAAAAAAAAAGACTTGTGGGGGGGGGAGGTATTTTTTAATATTGAAAAAGAAGAAAAAGCTGCTCTTTAACCCCTTGCCAGTGTCACCCGAATGCAGTACAGCAACTACTATGTGCAGTTTGTGATAATCGAACTGATTCGTTTCTACTTTAGGTTACTTCATTCACTATTTTCCTAATAGATGGCATTAGTAGCCCTAGTTTTTTCACTGATTTCGACTTCGGTTGAAGGAGGGAAAATGTGAGTGTTGCTCAGATAAACAGACACTTGGATTGATTAACAAAGACAGAGTTTCTCGTTTAGTATCCGTCGATTAGATTCCGCCGATTCTTTTTTGGCTATGTCTGATTCAGACGCCGATGAAGTTGAATATTACATCGAAAGTAATGATGATAGTGATTTTTTTGTTGTGTAGCCATTAAAAACCATTTTCTAACTTTTGTAATGATATAAACTATTTTAAGAGGACACTATACCGCGTAAGAAAATTTTCGTCGCAAATACTCTTTCCCCTTCATTACTAATTTCAAGTGCAAAAAAAAGTGAATTCAGACAGACCGACAGTAGTCCATAAAGTTTCGAATACTGAAAAGAAAATTTTAAAATATACAAATGCAAATAAATTATAAGGTGGTAACTTAGACAATGGAGAAGAAGTCCTGAATTTCGGTATTGAACAGATTTTGTTATGAAATGCTATGGTTTAAACTATTTTTTCTCTCCAGAAATCATGGATTTTGGTAGTTAAAAAATCAAATTTTTAAATGAAATATACCCCCCCCCCCATTTCATGGTGTTCCGAATATCTGAATGTGTAATAAAATCTCCACCCAGTCATTTTTTATTGAAATATTAAATGTTTTATAATGTTCTTTAAAAAATGGCGCTCTTTCAAAAAAATGAAGAAAAAAAATTTCTAGAACGAATTATCTTTTCAACTTCTGTGATTTCAAAATTTTAGTCATTATTTTTTTTATTTTATCAATTTCAAAATCTAGCTGAAGCAAACCAGTCATTGGCGAATTTTTTTAATTCCAAAATGAGAACAGAAAAATGACTAATATTTCTTTTCTTTCCGATCAACAAGAAAAGTATCTTTAGACTATAATTCTGCAGAAAAGAGAAGAAAATTTATTTGCTTTTGTAATTTTTTTAGCTACTTTATTGCTTCAACTCTTTCTTTACTCTGTTTTTTTAAGTTTGAAATCAATAAATATGAAGATGCAGAGTTTTGGTTATACCTATCATTTCAATTAATGTTATTATAATGCTTTTTTAAATTTATCGTTGTGTTTTTGTCGGAGAAAATAGTAACATCGTGAAGTCATGAATTTGAAAATCTAAAATGTTGCAGATACTCTGTATATGCCTAAATATTAAAACTGCAAGCATATTAAACAAAATGATTTATTTACAAATGGTTGATATATGAATACATATGAATCAATTGTCTTCCAAATCACAAAGTACCAGATCTCTTTTTGAGAGTAAAATCATTCACGGAAAATGGCTCCCTGTATCTGCAAATTAAAAAAACAAAATCAATTTACACATCCGTTATTTTTGCCCTTTTTATTACATATATCGAGATATTAAATTTTGAATGAATTTAAAAATATTTGCAAAGATTAATCAATCAGAGTGGTGTTTTCAACACTAATAATCAGATTAAACTGATGTAATGATTATTAAAATCAAAATAAATAAAAGTTTTTTACTTCTTCTTTTTTTAAGCTTCAAATGGAGGTATAACGCATCTCATAAGAAATAAAAACAAAAAGAAACTTAATCATGTTGGTCTTGCTGATTCTTTAATGTAAAACATAATAATTGAATGTCGACATTAAATACACGAATAATTAATTTTATCATAATTATTAATTTCATTTTAGAAAGCAAATAAATCTTTATATTAACCTTGGCTTAATGTTGAAATTGCCTTATTCCACTTTAAGAAAATGTTTTTGCAATAACATTTTTTAACTAAAATAAATTCAAATCACGCTCGATTGAATGCATAATAAGTATAAAAACTATGCTATATTTTAGAGGAAAAGTAATGCAGGGTTGCCACAGGCGACTATTTGCTTCTATTTTCAGCTTTAGGCGACTTTTTTTGCCTGAAAAGGCTAAAAAAGCAACTATTTTCAGGAATAGGCGAATTTTTTTCGCATAAAATGAACGTTACTTTTCAGAACGTTAATAAAAGAAAGCAAACTTTTATACAATTATTTATGTCCAAAAATTTAAATTTCCATTAGATTTAATAAAATATACTTGTTATTTTTTCTCTCCGAGGGGCAGTTTTGTTATTTTTAATTGTTTTTTTCCTTCTATTAACATTCATATTTTATTGTAATTCGACTCTTATTTAGGTACCTATTTTCTAAGATGTATACCTTTTTATATTTGTACAAAACTTTTTTGTACAAATATAAAAAGGTATACATTTAGAATTGGAGCATAGATAGGACTGGGCGATAAATCGATGTATCGCGAAATATCGATTTAACGCATATATCGGTAGGCCGATGTAGTGACTTTCGTTTTAGGCGATGCATCAGAAATTTGATTTAAACAGCCGGAATAAGGCTACAATCGCGGTTTAACTATTTAATATGCAAGGATCCTTGACTAGGCTAGCGCTGTTACCGCACTGACGAAGACGATTTTAATTTCGTCTTGCTGCAGAGATGTAGATAGCGTTTTGCTATAAAGATGATGTTAGTTTCGTGATGTTGAATGACGAAGAGCGAATTGAATCCCAGTTTCGTGCGAGGATCAGCGTTGTTATGTAGAACGCAATGCACAGTTTCTTTATGTCCATTTTTGTCTTTTAGATTTTACGTTTTTTGAAGATTATTTTCAATGGGACTCAAGTCATTTTGCAATTGTTGTGCATTTTATTTTGTCAGAAATAATTGTCAGGTTCTTTGTAAATTATTTTCAGTCAGACTTACCATCAGATATACCATTTTTTTTTCTGTCTGGGTTTAACGATTCTTGTCAATTATTTTTAGTAGACCTACGGTTACTTTGCGATTGCTGCACAATCGCTGTTATCTTAAATTTTCGTTCTGAACTCAATAGATCAATGAAACGAAAATAAAAAAAGATTTTCATTGATTTTTTTCCATTATTGTTTTTCATTTTAAGCGCTACAATTTAATAGGGGTATTTCGTATTTAACTTTGTTATAAAAAGTTCGTTTTTTTTTTAAATCTATTAAATGTAGGTAAGTATAATAATTTAATTATTGTTAAACCAATAAATGTCCAATCGTTTTTAACTATAAAAAAATTACAACAAAGCTTACATTTATTTAGTTTGCTTTTATTTTTGAGAAAATTAAAACGAAGTTTAAAAAATTTGGCTATTAGTTTTAAAAAAAAAGGAGAAAAAAAACAAATAATTTTTTTTTAATTAATTAAAGAGTTTAGTAATGTTTTGTCGCTTTTTTAATAATTTGGCATTAGTACTTAATTTTTTTTTTTATTAAAGTTCTTTCAATATTTGTTTGTTTTATAATTTGTTAGATAGTCAGTATCATTTTTAAACAAATAAATCTTTAGTCGATTTTATTTTCAAGGAAAATAATAATAAATAAGTATTTCTTAAGTACAGAATTTGACTATTAGTTAATACTACCATTTATTATTTTAAATAATTAAATAAAAAAGGGTCTAATGGTGCTTCAAAAGCATGTTTTTTTTTCCAACAAATAATTTTGAAAAAATGTTTTTTTCTAAAGTGAACATTTCTTTGGTTTGTTTTCCACTTTCGTTTTTTTTTATTTTTCTTTTAATTTTCATTGCATGTATGTAAAATATTTTGTTACAGTACTGTTATTTTTAAAACAATAAATCTTAAATTATTTTTAATTCAAGAAAAATGAAATAAAGCTTGGAGTCATAGTAGAATATGTTTAGAATTAATATTTTCTTTCGTACTAGATTTATTCCTTTTTATTAATTTGTGATTGATTGAAAGATTTCCCATATGTAATTTTTGAACATATGCTAAATCGCGATACATCATTTTAACGCGATGTCTAACTGACGATGTATCACAATTTAAAATTTCTGACATCACCCAGTCCTAGTTATAGTATTTTTCAATTAAGCTATAGTTTTCGTTATTTGGCTACTATTTTTGATAGATTTTAATTCCTGTTCAGGCAACTATTTTCATTGTTTTAGGCAACTATTTTCATGCTTGAGGCTACTAAAAGCAACTATTTTGGTTCATTTTTTACTGTGGCAACCCTGTAATGTCGTATCTGTGAATTTGATAATTTTTATCAAGATTTTATTTTTAATTAGCGTATTCACCCTCTTTAGTAACAACCTTTCAATACCGTATTGAAAATGGATTAAAAAAAATTGGGTTTTATGACTAACGGATGTTTAATGCGCTGAATCGACATTACTTTCCGGTCCTCGAAATATATATGTTACTAAAATTAATTCCAAGAATAACGACCTTAAATGTACGACGTGTTTCGTCTATAGAATATACAATTACGAGGAATTGTCATTTTGACCTTAGAATGTAAAGTTAAAACTTTATAACTAGACGACAAGATTGGTTGTTCAGAAATAGGGCGGATTTTCCTCCCAATTTCGTTGAAAAGTGTTACTCATTCTTAGCATAAAGATACTTTACATTTTCAAGCAACTGATAACGCTTCTCAACAATTTAAGTGATTTGCCCCCTCAATCAGGTTTCTCCTCGTGTCAATTTATTACTTCGGGAAATTTAATTTGAAAAGAAGCTAAGTGAGTAAAGTACCCGATAAAAGTATTTATGAGGGAAGATTTAAAAGTTTTAGGCAAAGTGTTCGAGATTACGAAGAGTGTTCGCATGTCAACTAACAGTAGAATCCCTGTTTTCTAACAAAGTTACGACCGATTGGTAGCAGTCTGTGAATGAGATAAATGATAATTTTCAAACTACAGTCAAATCCCGATATAGTGAACGAAATGCTAGCTCCCGTGCCTTGCTATGCACTTATAATATTATTTTTTGGATAAAATTGGATATTACGAACATTTTTGTCTTCAACTGATTTTATTTCTTCATTTTTTAGTTTCCCATTCCTAAATAACGGGCATTCCTAAATTTTTTTTTGTACACAAGACGAAGAGTTATGACAAATAAAAGTTAACTCATTTTTTTGTTACTACATATTGTTTTTTAATCATTTTCGTATTTCTTTTTATGGGTCATTGAATTAAAGAATGTGTAATAAAAGAGAACAGTTCGGAAAAAGTATTAGTTAAAATAGTTTGCAGTAAGGATATACAGAACTCCCGGTTATAGCGAACCGAAATTTCGTTCCCTTGAAGGTTCACTGTAGCGGGGTTTAACTGTATTTTGAAGCTGCTTGTTGCGTTTAACTTCGGAACAAAGCACATAAAACAAATGTTAGGAGGAATTCTCAACCTTAAATATTGATAGTATAATTTTATGAGCGTCTAAATGGTATGACTGTATAAATGTACTTTTATTCCGTAGCAACAATGCTGAACACTGATTTTGAACTTCGAAGACTTTCAAGAACTTGAAACGATCCCTAACTTTTAATAGTCAAAAGCAGTTAACTGAGCAGATCTGGCATTGAAAATTACTATGGTGTGTAAAATATAGTAATTGTTGCTCAGTATTTTAATTTTTTTGAGAGAGTTGGAATGATCCGTGATAATGAAAAATCAATTTCACACATGAAATTATTTTGATAGCTTTACTTCATTTCAACTAAGTAAGGTTAGTTTTTACCCAGAAAAATGTCGAAACAATTAAGACAGTACAAGTTTTTAGAAGAAATAATATTAATTATAAGAATTATAATTCTGATATATTCTTATAATTATAAGAATAATTAGGAGAATTATAAAAAGAATAATAATTAGAAGAAATATGTTTGCGGAAAATGTACAATAGAAACACCCTATATATGTACAGGATGCGTTGTGCAATGAATTAAAAATTGTTATTTTTTGTGTTTATAATACATAACAATTGGCACTATACAATTTTGCTTAATTATAATAAAGTTTTGTTTTGTTTATTTCCTTCCTAACATCCATATTTCATGCATTCAATCAAGAATCCGGCTATGGTAGAATACATTAAGTGTTTGTATGTTTTAGTGTTAAAAACGTAAATTTTGTGGCATTCCTCCAGTGTTGAGCAGATTATTTAAAATGACTCACCTTATCGCCTGCGATCCAGCGAAATTCAGATCTTTTGCGAAGTCTGCATTGGAAAAGCCTGGAAAATCATCCAAAAAGTCTGCTCCACCCTCAAAGCTTTCAGCTGCATCAAAATCTGTGAGTGAAGTGCCCGGGGATAGTTTGTGTCCTCCAAAAGAAGCAGGATTGAGTCCGAAATTAGAAGAAAATCCATACGGTGACTGTCCGAAGCTGGAGGGTGCAAACGATGATCCCGAGCTTTGATAGATGTTCCGTTGAGGATAGGATGCTGCGAAGTTTGCTGAAGACGCCATTGGTAAATTACCGTAGTTTGATAATTGGGATCGAAGACTCGAACTGTAAGGACCGAAATTCATTAAGTTGGGATTTCCAAAAGATCCTTGACCAGTTAGGGATCCGAAAGACTGTTGTGGCGAGAAGTAGGAAGGGGAGTTATGGGAAGCAGAAGGGGTCAGTAGAGAGTAACCAGCAATTCTCGGCATGAAACGTTGTAAAAAAGCCGGCAACTGACCAGAGACAGACGAGCCTATCTGTATTAACACCAGTATTTTGTTTATCGTCTTCATAGTGGTGGCTTTAATATCTGGATCTATAAATAGAAACAAAATGAGTGAGCAAAGAAATGAGAGTAAAACAATAAGTTGTGTGTACACAAGTTCCCTTTTCTGTAAGGATGTGTGTAGACTGATCGTAAATATACGGTTCCCAGTAAAACATAGAAGACAAGCATCACTGGCTGCAGTCAGTATTCGGGCCGGTGACCACTTGGATCAGCCTACGTAGGGACCGAGAATGCTCGGTATCAGCCCTCGTTAAACTTATCTACAGTAAAGTGCTCGACCTCGCTCTCAGGTCGTCGAGCTACCGAAGCGGAAGAGCCATCCTCTCTGCAGATGATCGAAATTTGTGATGGCATGTCTGTTGATCATCGTCTGGGATGTTTTCCATACCGTCGCCAATAGCCACCGTGCAAGCCGCGATGGCTCAGGGGATAGAGCGTTCGCCTTTCAATGAGGTGCACTGGAGTTCGATCACGGCGATAGCTGGTTGACACGAATTCCGCATCCCGCTTGCACCGACCACAGTGCTGACGTGGAATATCCTCAGTGGTTGACGGATCATGGGTTAGAGTCCCCTTGCCGTCAGGCTAACCGTGGGAGGTTCTCGTGGTCTTCCTCTCCACGCAACGCAAATGCGGGTTAGTTCCATCAAAAAGTATTTTACGAAGGCAAATTTCTGCCAATACTTGATCCAGGAGTTNGGAAAATTTATCGAATTTCGTTCCGGTTTTTTGGTTTTCCGGTTTTCTGATTTCCGGATAACGGGTTCTGTACTGTATATACCTATTTCTACCATGGCCGGTCAAATGCGCGAACTACAGATTTGTTGATTGAATGTACGAAATATGAATGTCAGGAAGAAAATGAACTAAAAAAACTTTCTTATAATTAAATAAAATAGTACATTGCCAATTTTTATGTATTACAAAGAACAAGAATTTTTAATACATTGCTCAACTCATTTTTTACATATACAGGATGTTTCCATTCTACATTTTCCGCATACATATTTCTTCTAATTATTATTATTCGTATAATTCTTATAATTATAATTCTTATAATAGATTATTAACTGTATATAATTGTTAGAAAAAGTCATGAAGTCAAATGTGCAGAAACGTTAAGACGATAAGCGCATTTTCGATGCAAAATTTCTTAAACGGCCATTTGATCGGTATGGTATGTTTAGTGTTAAAGGATATCTTCAAACCATAAATTTTTTTCTCTTTTTTTTAAATTTTTTTTGTGCACAGTAAAGAAAATGCAACCTCCACTGTAAACTGCCATCGAACTACTTTTTAACTAATTCATACCCATTTTAAATCCCATTTTAGCGAAATCCGAAATAGCGAAAATTTTAATGTAACGAATATTTTCCGAATCTCCACATAAACAATGACTATCGATATTATGAAATTCGCAATCCGATTTATCGATGGTGAAAATAAGCAACAATTCTCATTTTTGTTTTCTCTTCTCATTATCAAAACATTTTCCATTCTTCAAAATGATCTCAGAATCTAAATATTTTTGCAGCTCCAAAAAAAAAAGTTTTAGAACGGGACACAACCCTGAAACCATTCATGTTTGAAGAAGTAAAAATACATCTGGCTTTCCAATTCACTTGTTTGAAAATGTGCATAACTTTGGAGAAGTTAGTAATTTCTACTGGTTCTAAATCATTTGTACGGGGAAAAAAATTACGTCATTTCTGATGAGTAAGTGATAATAAATCCATTGTTTCATTTTAATTTAAATGTTTTTGTGAGCTTTTAAAATATTGAATTGGTATTTTTTACACAAATAGATCAAGAACTGTAATTAAATGCAATATTCATTATTTTTTAAGCGAAAAATTCCAATGTAACAAAATTAATTTGGTTAATCTTGAAATTCGTATTATCGGTATAAGGGATGTTCGCTATTGCGTAGCGATTGCTTCGGTGCCTAGGAGTTCGCTAAAACGGGATTCGACTGTGATGGTTTTGTGCATTGCTCCACATTTTATTAACATTTTACAGGAAATACTGTTGCAACCCTATCAAAAGGTGAGAATAATAATAATCAACATATATGCTGTCTGCCATCGCCATATTCTATCGTTGCACCACATTAAAACTGGATCACCCCCCTAAAGAGAGAGAATGTTCTGAATAGACATAAACCACTGAACGACAGAAAAATACAATATACAGTTCCTGGCCAAATTATTAGATTCTATGTAAAATCTTAATTATCGAGTGATACTATACAGCTTTATTGTTTTTAGGCGGTTTACACTTGCTCACGTTAGTGTATCAATTGGTAAACATTGTAATACAATACGTTTAAAAATAAATACAAATAGAAAGTATATAAAATATCTCCTGAATAAAAACCCATTACATGTATGTTTAACTATAAAAGTATTGCCTATAAACTCGTGCAAAACATGCAATTGTCAAAACACTACAGTGCGTCTCATCATTTGATCTCATTATTATAATCTACTAATATAATGCTTCATATAATAAATATTCTATATTGATATAATACATCGTCGAATTTATATTATATATCACCTAATTTAACCCATTGATACACGAACGTAAACAAGTGCAAACAGTCACATAAAAAACAATAAAGCTGTATAGAGTATCACCTGATAATTAAGAATTTACATAAAATCTTAGAGTGCTTCTGAAAATTTAGTCAGGGACTGTTGTTGCACGATGAGGGCGAAAAAGAAAGAACTGATTCGAATGGAGAAAATAAGTCAATCTTGGAAATATTAACTTCAAAAAAATCCCAAACTGATAGCCAATAAATTTGAAATTTCTCAAGTTTGAAGGATAAAACTTTTTTCCCCCCGAAAGAATTCGAAATGAATATGCAAATCACGAAAGTTTTAGTAAAAACTGAAAGGGAAAATCGAATTTTGATAAATTGACGGATTAAACGGGTATAAAAACAGTCTTCAATTATAAATTTTTTCTGAAAGAGTAAAATAATATTATAGAATCTTTATTTTTCATTAGCATAGATTTAATTTTATGTAACTTTAAACAGGGTGCGTAGCGTTTGTAAAAAGTACTTAAAGGTGCTTTTTGGGGGATTTCGTTTTTAAAAGCTTTTAAAGGTGCTTTTTTCAGCTGGCGATTTTAAAAAGTGCTTTTTTTCCGAATCTTTTTCCGGCTTTATGCTTTTTTTTCCGGCTCAAGTTGAATTCACTCGGTGATGTGGGAAAGTACTGATTGTTTCGATTTACGCCCGTTTCTTTTCTTTTCTTTTTTTTTTAACGCTTAAGCTGTTTATAAAAAGTTTTTGTTTTTCAATGATATCATTGATTGAATATGAATTTTTTGAGTGCTTGAAAATTTTTGTAAAGTGCTTGAAAAGTTTTTAAAAAGTGCTTATTTTTGATTCAAAGATTTGGCTACGCACCCTGTTTAAATGACATTTATATTTATGATATAACTTATGATATTAACAACTAACGCTGACAGATTTAAATGTAATTGTTTAAATTAAGAATTTAAGATTGAATAATGCACTTCCTATTAATCGATTCTTTGAATAGAGTTGGCTGGCACCAATGGTATTCCTTTAAGCGGGATTGACTGTATTATTCTTTTACTACTATAATAACTACTGAACATTTTGCGTAATATTAGTTGTTATAAATTTTTGCATAACGTTTTTGTGGGCACGAATAAATAAATAAATAAATAAAAGCTCCTACCTTTTAATGTTCTGAGCAGAGCGAAAGAGTGTACACCTATAAGAGACGGATGCTTTAATGAAAGATACGATCACCGACGACAAGTTCTGTTTGAGTGAGCATCCTCTCATAACAAACTATATATATATATATATATAGAGCGCACAGTCTCTTGGACCCCGATTTAGGACAACGGCTTTCTTCTGCCCACTACTCTTCATCTAAAATGCTTTCTTTCTCGAACTTTCTCCGAATGCATATAAATATTTTTTTCTTTCTTTTCGTGGGTTTTAGTTTCTAATTTATCAGTGCGTGGTTTTGATGTATTTATAAATTTCCACAAATGAGTAAGCATCGCGTTTTTTAATAAAAGTCAAATGAAAAACAACAGGATATTATAGTGCTGCGGTTCTCGATTCTTTTTCGGTTATTAAAAAAGAGGAATCACAAGGAGAAATTTTAAAAGTCTCTCTTTATTTATTTTATTTTAATTTTATAACCGTCGTTGAACAGTCGAACCAATTTTTTTTGGTTTCTGACTACTAATGCACAACTGCGTACGCTTGTCATTTTGAACCAATCCAGAAGACAAGGGAACTCCTCGATCGAGTATTGGGTGAAATTTACCTTCGTGGAGGACTTTTTGATGGAACTAACCCGCATTTGCGTTACTTGGAGAGGGAGACCACCGGAACCTCCCACGGTTAGCCTGACGCAAAGGGGACTCTAACCCATGATCCGTCAACTACTGAGGATATTTGAAGGACGTATAATTATGTGTCTACCGCCGTTATAGAGAATCGCTGACAAAGTTTCAATCGTTAATAAAATACTTTTTATTAATCCACTCAAGTTCAAATACATTTTGTTGAGCTTGTAGTCTATGGCACTTGATGTTAATGCAGTCTTTTTCAACTATTGATTCATTGATTAAATAAGGATGAGCGATAAACGAAATGGAATTTTCTGATGGGTTAAGTGTTAGTCATTGTTTTAAATTTTACTATAAGCTATTCAATTTTTCACATATTTTGAAAATAACATCAGTAATAATTTCTAACTCTATTTGAACAAATAAATAGTTTATTGCGCACATTTAAATCTATCTATATTATATAAAACGTACGTACGTATGTATGTATGTATCAATAAAACCGATGATATTTCTTTTCTCGCGCTGGCAACAGTTTTCATTTTTAATTGATTGGATTCGGCGCGCAAGAGCACGTAGCAGAGCCGTTTTTAAGGATGGGCCCAGTGGGCCCTGGCCCAGGGCCCCGAGTTCATTCATGCACTAAAAACATGACAATATTTAATTTAAACTCAATTAGGAATTAATTAATTAATTGAAGTGAGAATGCTTTAAAAGGCCGCTGTTGAATTGATATTTTTCTACTGGGAGCTACCTAAACGTCTAAAAAACGTTTAAGTGTTTGTATTGAATGCATTGAATTTTTTTATATTTCGCGTTTATTTATGCATTGAATTTTCACGCTTTAAAATGCAGAATATTAGTGAAGCAATATTTGATAATTTATTTTGCTAATATGTTTCTTATTTAGCTAATGTTTTGATTTTTTCACCATGTACAATCTAAATAGCTAATATACTTTTTTAAAAGCCAATAAGAACATTGGTAGAATTCTTCTACATAAGTACAATACTATGTCTTTGATGATAAAATACTATGTCTTTGATGATAATATATTATGTCTTTGTGCTAGAACATTGTGTTCATTGGCGAGCGAGCGCAGCGAGCCATGGTTCACGGCGTGAACCACATAGGATTGCGTAGCAATTCTCGGGGGTTAGCGAGCAGGGGGTGAAGCCTCCTAGTTATTTTATATTCGCTGTGTCTGATAAATTCAATAATTATGTGGTAGCACGTGTGGTCCACGTCACCAAATGTATACTTTTATTGTTGTCTGATACCATGCTCCGTTTTTCCCCCTTCCAATTCCTACTATTAGTTCACAATCTCCCTATACATATTTATATATTCTGTTCAAAATTTCGAACCACTCAAGTTCAAATACATTTTTTTATGGCACTGGGTGTTAATACAGTTTTTCTCAAATATTAATTCATTCATTAAATGTAATGAATTAATTTTACTTTTATGTAGGAAAAAAGTTTGTAATTATTTAATAAAAAGTAACTAAATTAAATTTTTCTTTATAAGTAGGAATTGACTTTAATTTTTTTTTTAATGTTAATATTTCTTGTTATTTAAATTTTACCGTTTTAAAAACGTTTTTGAAACAATGCTCAATGACTGAATTGTCCTTATCAAAGTATTTGGAAATACGGCAAGGGAGAAATCGCTCTGGAGGTCAGGGCAAGCACTGGAAAAGCGTAGATTTTGCAAGGAAATCAACTCCATTGAAATGTCATCAAGTTATTCGACGATTATTCCTCTCTTTTATATCCAGGTCAAAATTTTGGATGGTTTTCCATTGATGGACCATCATAATCTTGATGGTAACCATCAATAATTTCATCATGAACCATTATGTTTTTTTGATAAGGAATTAGGATGGAATTTGGACTGATTTATGATGGGCCAACATAAGAATATCATCTTGTTTTGATGGTTTCAAGTTGAACCATCAGAAATTTCCATCATAGTATCTTGGAAATCAAATGGTGTAACGATCATGAACCACCATCCTCCCAATGTAAGAATTCAAACTGATTTTTGATGGGCCAACATAAGAAAATAAACAAATAATTTTGATGATTGTTTCTGCTGAACCAACAAGAATTCCCCTTAAACCACCATAGAAATATATTGTTGGAACCATCACGGATTGTTGGTCCGTGAGAATAAAATTTTTCTTGATGGTCAACCATCATAGTATTAAAGTAGAATTTTTCATCATGGAATGATGGAAGTTTGTTGGAATATCAAACACCTTGAACGCAGAATGGAAAATGTTGGATGATGGTGACCATCAAATGATTTTGGAGTATCATGGATCGCACTAAAACCAACATAAACCATCAAAATGTTTTGATGGGACTATCAAGAATTTTGACTTGAGTAAACAGTTAAAATCCTTAAACATTTTACCAGTGGCTCTCATTAGTTTTTCTTGTCATCAATGACATTTTTTTTATATGAATTCCGCATCCGGCTTGCCACCACAGTTCTGACGTAGAATATTTTCAGTGGTAGACGGATCATGGATTAGATTCCCCTTCCCGTAAGGCTAACTGTGGGAATTTTTCGTGGTTTTCCTCTCTATGTAACGCAAATGCGGGTTAGTCCCAACAAAAAGTCCTCTACGAAAGCAAAATTTCTCGCAATGTTTGATACTGGATAATATAAAATAAAAAAATAATATAAATCCTCTATAATATAAATCCTAAAATAATATAAAATAAAAAAATATAGCCCACTGATTTTAGTGCTATCAAAATTTATGACCAGAATTACGTAAATCACCGTCACTTTTGAGCTGCTGCGAATATTACATTATCATCTAACAATTTTCTATACATTTATTTTCACACTTAGAAATAAACACCACACAGTTGGCCTTCTGATAAAAATAAACATATAATAGATCCAAATTTAGATAGAGATATGGATCCAAAGTTTTCTTTATGAATAATTATGTCATAGATTGTTCAATAGTCTTTTTTTATTATCGTTGTTTTGAATCTTGTGTTGAGGTGCGTGTGTGTAGGTAGGAGCGCGCGCACTTTCTACTCTATTTATTTTAGGTCACGGTTATAGTGTGTGTGTAAAAAAGAATGCAGGCTGTTGACCGACACCTTTTAACAAAATTTATTTTATCTTGGATGATGACACTAGGAGATTCATTAACATTTTTCTTTACTTCTTATAAAACTGACTTCTTCCTTTAATGGCGCTCTTAATCGATGCTGCTTACCGTTCCGATTCTCAATCCTCCCCCCTCCCCACCCCGACACACGAAATGACTGGGATCCAATATTGACAATTATAAAGAAAATGAAGAAAGGGAAATATGAAAAAAGGGAAAAAGAAAAATAATTATAGAAATAACAAAAATCGGGAAAAAAATCCCGAAAAAAATTGAAAAAAATTCATAAAATGCGGAAAATAAAAGATCTAATCTTTTTATCAGCTCACACGGCTATATTGATACAATATTAGAAAGCATTCCTTTTTGCGGGTATAATCGTGTGAGCTGATAAAAAGATTATATCTTTCATTTTCCAGATTTTTATTAATTTTTTCCCCTTTTTTCGGTATTTTCCCGGATTTTCTAAATATCGCATATAAACTCATTTAACATAAAAGTATTGAATATGTAGTGATGTTTATTTATCCAAAAAACAAGCAGATAAATTCTTTCAAAGTTTGATAAAAAACAAAAACAAAAAACAATGGATACCCTATTAATGTTATGTTATTAATGCCTATTAATGTAAAGTTCTATTTGAAATCATTGAGTTAATTGTATGTTATTATTATTAATAAACATACTGAAAATTTTTTTGTTAACAAAATTTATAATTTTACCAGTTCAAATCCAATTTGGGCAAAACAGTGACTGAAAATGTTTCCTTTTTTTAAAAAATAAATGTTAATTTTCTAAAATCATTAAAATTGCATAGTTAAATATCAACCTTATTAATTTTAAACTTTAAATCATCCAGTATAATATTATTTAAAATCTTATTCCGAAATCTTATAATCTTATTCCGAAATCTTATAATCTTATTTTAAAATCTTATTTAGCGAAACGTTTTAAAGATGACACCATTTTTTTTATCTACTAAATAAGAACATAAAAAATATTTTTCGAAATGTATTGATACATCTAAATTTTAATGTTACGAAAATTAAAATTTTTTATTATTATTTTACTCACTTTTATCTTTTTCTTTTTTACAAAGTTTGGCTGTTTAAGATAATTTACCTTATCTTAATATTTAACTGAAGTATTTTTATTATGCTGTTTATTCGATTTAAATTTGGAGAAAGATTAAACAGCAATAATAGTTACTCTATTCATTTCTATTGTTTGAAATCAAAGTTCAATGTTTAAAGATTATATTAAAAAAAAAAGTGGCACACTTGGCAGCGGAAATGTACAGTAAATACGATGTACAGTAAACCTGCAGTACAATACGTACGGTACTATCTAGCACACTAAATGTTCTCCATCTCTGGTATAGTACAAATCGAATTTTTTATGATCAGCAAAAGTTTTGAAGTACTTGAATCAGATATCTTTACAACAAATCTATGGGTTAGATAGAGTTGGACATTTATTTAATTTTGAACCTAAAGCAAGTGTCTTAAAGTAATTGATTTTTAGATGAATAGTTCATTAAATTGTTATTCGAATTGCCTTCAGCTATAAATTTTTCGTTATAAAACAAAATGTACGAATTTAAAGCAATTTTATGATTACGAAATGTTTTTTTTTCTTATACATTTATTTTGCGGCGTTTTCGGCTAGAGGCTGAAAAACAGTAAGAAAGAATAACCTAGCCTAAACTATCAATATTTATTACCTTCAGTTGGCAATTATCAATGAATGTATACGTAAAACATTTGACTGAAGATTTTCATTAAAATACTACTATACATTTAAATCATGAGTTGAATTTTTTTTAATTATAAAAAAGTAAAATCGCTGTTAAAATTAATTTTTAGTAATATTGATAATAATTTTGATACTACTTTCAGTTACAAATTTCAGAAAAAAATTAATCTCTCTAGGATTGTTCTTCGTTTTCTTTAAAACTTGTTTTTAATAATAAATTATTTCTGTATTCTTTGCGAATTTGCGTTCAGGAAATTAAACGCGATATGTCTCTCTACATTTTCGGAAAAAGCGATGGCAACGCCTTTCAGTGGAAGGAAATAATTCCGGAGTTTCTGGGAACGAGAATATCACATATATTCGATGTAATAGAATTACTTAACATTCTAAAAAAAGAATGGCTGTTAAATGTTCATGATCTTTTCGAATCCGGATAGATATTAATTACAAAAGATATAATTTTGAATCTCGATTTTGTAGGTGGTTTGAAAGAGGTTAAAAAGACAGGCGATGAATTCGTTGTGCGTTATTGATCCGAAATCCATGGAAGCCGGCTGAAAACATTCTCCAGACAAGTCAATAATTTGAAAAAAATTGCGATGCATTTCGTTTCTTTTAAATTTCGATAGAGTTTTAGATCATGGTTGTTTATTTAAAAACTATTCTATGGTTTTTATGCATCGTATTATGCTGCGTATATTCTCAAGGTAAGTTAAATTGTTCTATTTAAAAAAAAAAATAGGCTTAAGATAATATTTTGATCTGTCATGTGTATGTTTATGTTTTGATAATCTGTAATTTATCTGTTCATCTTTCATATCAATTATTCAACAGTAAATTTATGTATATGCTGGAACTAAAGTTAGTTATTTTTCAGAAAATAAGCGCTCCGCAAACAAACATGACAACAATAAATGCTCGAAGATTATCGGAATTTTCTTCTTGTTGTTATGATTTTTTCACTTAAAAAATAAAGAAAATAAATTTTCAATAGTAAAAAATACTTATAGGATGTTTTATTCTTTCTTTGTTTTTAAATTTATCAATTGAATAGTGAAACTTAATTTCTTCTTCGTGGAAAACAAACAAGACGAAGTCTTATTCTTAAAACAGGAAAACAATTTGTGTGTTAATTATTAGATTCATTTGATCATTGTCAGCTTTAGCTCTCTCATTTTCCAATTTAGTTAAAACCAACAATACTTAACAAATTAATTGCTCCCATTTATAGAGACGTATTACAACTAAATGAATATTTTCTCCTATTGCTGTCACTTTTAAATTTAAAAAAAATATTTGCAAAAATGATTTTAAATTTTTTATTATGATAGATCGAAATAAGTTTTGCATTATAAAGATACGTTTTAATTATTGAATTATGTTAGAAATAAATAAATAAAAAGCCCTGTTCTCAAATGATAATCCCAACCAGATAGGTAAAAAAAAAAAAGATTTGTTAGGAGCTGAATTAAGAAAAATGGTGGTTTTGGTTCTTTCGAAAGATGTACTTAAGATTTTTAATAAATATTTTGAAATTATCATTCAATAAACTTAAAATCATAATGTAAACTTTTGGGACTATCCCCCGTTTGAATGAACTGATTTTTAATTTATAACAAAAGCCAGAATTTTAAGAACCATAGGTGATCTTAGTAAACGGTGCACTTTATTAAATCTTTTTTAAGGTGTTCTTTCGATTTTGGTTGGGTTTTTAATCTTCTGAAATCTAGTCTCCGATTTTTCTTCAGTTTCCACTATGAACTCTATAAAGTCTTAAAAATATCTGACTGGCAAAAGCATGAATAAAAAAGAAAAAAACATGTAACGAGATAAATTTAAATTAAAAACATGAGACAATTTATGGATTCTTACAAGCCACAAACCACTTCTGACAATTTACTGCAATCCAAAGCTACATTAATGGAAATACAGAGCTATAAGCTAACGCAAATAGCTCGTCGTACTCTTCTTTACAATTTACGGAACATCAGAAAGTTGTTGCTTTTTGATAAGAATAGATTTTGTTTAGAATTTAAGGTTCATACGAACTCGTTACGGGTTTTCCATTTACTTGATTACGTTAGAACTTGTGTATTGTGTTTTATTTTAGTTCCTTGTATTTATTAATAAAATGAAAAAAATATGTTGATTTTTTTGCATTTTTTTCTCCAAATTAATTGGTAAGGGAAGTGGTTAAAAGGGCCCACTAACTGCAGTCAAGTAGAAGAAAATTCAGTACTCAAATCCCCCATTAACACTATTCGTATTTATAAATTTAAAAAGAATGTAAAACTAGTGTATACAATTTTTATATAGTCAAATTCATTCATTAATTTTTCCATCTTTTTTTCAGTTCCACCGAAGTTAGCCCCTCTTCCTAAGGAATTAGAGTTCAAGCGAGGAGAACGCTTCCAATTGGTGTGTTCTTGCAGAGAAGGTGAACCCCCCCTCTCCTTCAGTTGGGTCAGGGATGGTCAGACACTGGTTGAGAGTATGGAGGTATCGGTGAGACGATTCGATGAATTCTCATCCTCTATAACCATAACTGCACTGAGGGATGATCATTCTGGAAATTATACTTGCATAGTCAGCAATCAAGGTGGAAGTGACAGCTCAACAGTCAAGCTTAGAGTTTTAGGTACTCATTCCTTTATTTTTCCCTATCCTATCCTGGCTTTTAAAGAGTCATCATTGCATTATTTTAAGTGCAAAACACGTGCGTGAACTCCCCTCCTAACGTTCGCCTTTACAAACTCTGCCCTTCGCCGCTTATGTTCAAGTAGAAATTATTATCTTTTCTTATTCATCAATCTAGTCCCGCAGTGGACTGATCGTATATACACGGTTCCCAGCAGATCACCGAAGTCAAGCATCACTGGCTGCTGTCAGTGTCCTGGTGGGTGACCACTTGGATCAGTCTGCGTAGGGACTAAACTGTTCTACAGTAAAGTGCTCGACTTTGGGTGCAGGTCATCGGGCTACTGAAGCGGGGGTGCCATCCACTCTGCAGAGGATCAACATTGTGATGGCACGTCTTCGGATCATCCTCAGGGATGTTTCCCAGATCGTCGCTAATAGCTCATTGTGCAGATCTAGTGCGACGCAAATGAACTACTACAATTATTCATCAATTTAATCTAACCACTTCTTATTTGCCACTGATTTCTTCAGTAGGCAAGATCATTTTTACTTGACATCTAAAGGCACGGTTTCAAATCGCAGTGTGGAGGCTGGGTTAAAAGGATTAATTTTTAACGTACTATCGGATAGCATTTAAACCTATTCGTACATTTTTTATATGTTTGTTATGAAAATTAATGACACATACAAATTTTCCTTATATTTTATAACATAATGAGAGATAGGTAAGTACTTTGTTTGCTGCACAGTGGGCTATTGGTGGCTGTCTGAGAAACATTCCTGAGGATGAGCCGAAGACATACCATCGCAATTTCGGGAATGTCACCCCTGTATTGGTAGCCGGACGACCTGCGTGCTGCACTTTATAGTAGAACAGTTTAACGAGACCCGATACCGAGCATCGTCGGTCTTTACGCAGGCAAATCGAAGTGGTCACCCATCCGCTTACTGACCGAAGCCAGTGATGCTTGACTTCGGTGTTCTAATAGGCACTGTGTCTTTACGATCAGGCCACTGCGGGAAGAGCTTTCTTAAGAAAGGGTTATCTTCTTTGATGCACTTCGTTTTTTGCTAATCTTAAACCAGTTTTTCTTATTGATGTTTTACAACGGATCCAAGAACCTCGTGAGTAGTATGTATAATAAGATATATTAACCATTGTGATTAACAAAGTCTTTAAAATTCACTCCAAACTTTGTATTTTAATGGTAAGCCTATTGAAAGAAGTATCTTTTTTCAGTTCCTCCAACGTGGCTGAGACAACCTTATGACATGTCTGTTCTTTCTGGTGCAAGAGTCTCACTCCACTGCGAAACTTCGGGCACTCCAAAACCAACAGTGACTTGGAGGAGAAGCAAAGGTAAGATTTTCTTTATGACTTTCGATCATGTGACATTCATTCGACTTAAGGGGACATTGAACATCTCGCTGAACGAAAATGCGGCGTGAAGTGACTTTTGCAGTAACTGCTACAAAAAATTTAATTTTAATGATAGGTTTCTAAATTTTTTAATATTTATTTGTTAGGTTTTTTTTAATGTATTTCTGCAGTAAAATATACAAATTAAGTTAGACAATAATTTTTATTCATACAATTTATAGGCAAATTTTTTGTTCAAATTATGTCATCAGTAAAGTACATATAAAACTACAACTACTCAATATAATTGTCTGAAAAAAATTATACACACAATATATAGCCTAGGGTATGCAGTATACCTAAAATTAGACTAAAATGCACAATTTTTTGCAGAATAAAAAATTGANAATGATTTCACTTACTATAGCGTAAGTATCTTTTTTCAGTTCCTCCAACGTGGCTGAGACAACCTTATGATATGTCTGTTCTTTCTGGTGCAAGAGTCTCACTCCACTGTGAAACTTCGGGCACTCCAAAACCAACAGTGACTTGGAGGAGGAGCAAAGGTAAGATTTTCTTTATGACTTTCGATCATGTGACATTCATTCAACTTAACCCAATCTCCTCCCCTTTATCAAAGGGATTGAAGGATTTCTTTTAACTCCAAGTAATGATTGTTATATTTGTGTACAGAATCAAATTTCTGTTTTGTGTGAACTTTGGGGGTCTTTTGGAGTATCAAAACAGAGTTGCCACTCCACAGGGAGAATAGCGAAAACCTATAAAATATAGGGAATTTAAAAATCACCTAAAATGACAGGGGATTATGAGTTTTTCTTTACAAACTTTGAAAATACAGGGAATTTTTTTATTTTTTTTTTATTTTTCTCTTTTAAAAACCGAGGAAAACTCAATGTGTAATATATGGGATATTTAAGGATGATTTTCCAACTGAACAAAATTATTTCACTTACTATAGCATTATTTAGGTATGTTCAGCTGTTTCTTTTTTTTTCTGTAAGCCCACTATAGCTCACACAAGAGTACAGTGATTTGTGTTTTTCTTTCTAATATATTGTGTATTATATATATACAGGGAAAACACAAGGATTTTTTCCTCCAAATTTAAATGGCAACATTGAATAATTTGAATTAAGCCACAGCTATTTTTTTTTAAATATAGAGAGATGAGAATTATCGAGTACCAGAAACTTCTTAATTAGCAAAGTTTTTCTTTTCGAATAGGATTCAACATACAGCAGATGGAAACGTTAGCAACAACTCAATGGCGCATAGGGGACGACGGCAGTTTATCCAAGTCCACTATCCAAAAAGGAGACGAGGGTTTTTACTCTTGCGAAGTGACCAACGGCGTCGGTGAAGGATTGCGAAAAACAATTCGCATCGAAGTACAAGGTAATAACACTTCTTAGTCGAGATTTAGTTGGAAGCATGCAATACATTGCTGCCATTGAATAATTTCATACACAATGGAAATAATAAATAAATACACTATCCGGCCAAGAGTTATCCGGGTTGTTACAGTGGTGGAAGCATAATGTTGTGGGTATGTTAGTTCCTGTGGTTGGAACTTTTATAAATGTGTATGTGGACAGTGCTGCACTCCCAACTCTATTTCTCTTCCATTCACAATTCTGGGTTTACGACTACTAATGTTCAACTCCGCAGCCTTGTAATTTTAAACCAATCCAGAAGACAAGGAAGCTCCTGGATCAGTACCCCCAGTGGTGTTGATTTGTTATGAGAACATTTAGGACTTTGCGACTCGTCAGATTTAACGTGCATCAGTCACCATTTACTACACGGGGAGTCTTCGGCCGGCAGGGATCGAACCTTTGAACTCAGGGACATATGCCTAGTGCCCTACCAAACAGGCTATCCCGACCTGCACAGACGTGGTTTGACGAAATGGGTGATCAAAAACTAGTCTGGCCTTCTCGGAGCCCCGTTTTAAATCTCATCGAACACCTTGGGAGGAATTAGGGCGTGGATAACGTAGCCAGCCAAATTGACCACCATAACTGCAAGCACTCTCTTCAGCTGTGATGAAGTAAATTCCTATTCAAATACACTATCTGCCCAAAAGTTATCCGGGTTGTTTGTAGTGGTGGAAGCATTATAGTGTGGGAGTCTGTTATTTCCTGTGGTTGGAACTCTTGAGTTGTGTATGTGGACAATACTGCACTCTAATGACAATATTTCAATTCATTTCCTTTCCACTTACCCATCGAGGCTTGCACAGACGTTGTTTGACGAAATGGGTGTTCAAAAACTGCCCTCTCAGATCTTAAATCCTATAGAACACCTTTGAGACGAATTAGAGCGTAGATGACGTAGCCATTACAAGCACTCACTTCAGCTGTGGATGTTAATTCCTATCCAAAAATAGTGGAAAGTCTTTTCAGACTAGTGCAGGCTGTCAGCGATGCAAAAAAGGGACCCCCATCATAATAATATGTGCCTCAGGACACTTTTAGTCCACATCACTGGGTATCCGTATACTTTTGACAAGATAGTGTAGTAGGGGAACCGGGATAGTCTGGTGGGTAGGGCACTGGACCCATGTCCAAGAGTTCGTGGTTTCGATCCCAGGCAGGCCGAAGAAAGTAAATGGTGACTGATGCTCGTTAAATCTGTCGAGTCTCAAAGTTCTCCATGTTCCCATAACAAATCAATACGTCTAGGGGTACTGATCCAGGAGTCTCCTTGTCTTCTGGATTGGGTTCAAAATGACGAGGCTACGGAGTTGAACATTAGTAGTAGTAAACCCAGAATTGGGTCGGCTGTTCAGCGACGGATAAAAAAAAAGATAGTGTGGTAGGGAAGCAAGATAGTGTAGTTGTATGATTGGATTAGTATGCATTGAGTCAGATTTGAAATTTTATCAAGAATAAAAGGACGATGAGATCAATCAAAACAAAACAACAAAATCAGGTCGTAAGAGTGAGAACTATAAAAGTTCTAATGCCGTTGTTTAAAATGTCATAAAATATTAACAAAATATAACCTAACTGTTATAATGTCTACGCAGCTATACAATTATATATTGCGGTTATGTAAAATGAATAAATTGAACTTTTTCAAATTACTTTTGTATACTTTTACTTTTTTTCAATTTACTTTTTACTCAAATTATTTTTTATAACTAAGAAAACTTACAACTGTAACAAAACAGGCTTTATCAATAAACATTAAATTTTTTTTCGATTCATTGGGTGGAAGCGGATTTTAACCAATTGTGATTGTTAAGTCAAACAGTTGTGTGTAAGAAAGCAGTTGTATGTAAAGGAGATTTATTGTAACCGTCTCTAACTTCTTTGGTTAAAAAAAAAATTCTTGAATTTGGGATAAAAAAAAACTTTCTATGGATTTAACATAATGTCTTTTTTACAGAACAAAAGTTGAGTCAGAGTAGACAGAACTCAAGTTTACCTTCGCTATCTCACTAACATTAACTCTGAACGTGGAAATTTTTACAATGTACGATTTTTAAAATAGTTCAATGTAATTCTAATAAATAAATATAATAAATTAACTAAAATTTTTTTAAACTATACAGTTGTGAGTAGGAGAAAAAAATGAAATTTCATGTAGTAACAGATGTTGTTTGTATTGTTGTAGTTCCTCCTACTGTGATAATGTCGGAACACGAGAAGAGTGTGACAAAAGGTGATCCTGTCATTCTAAGGTGTGACATCACTGGTGATATGCCTCTGACAATCCACTGGGGAAAAGTTCACAGAAATCTTCCCCTCATCACTGAAGACAGGTACTTTGAATACTAATTAGGAGAAATTGTTTATTAAAAGTAAAACTTTTATCACACTGTATTATAACCGGTGTTGAACAGCCGACCAAATTCAGAGTTTACGACTACTAATGTTCGTAACCTTGTAATTTTGAACCCAATCCAGAAGACAAGGAAACTCCTGGATCAAGTATTGGTGAAATTTCTATCCACGGCTTTCCTGACAGCTAAGGGACTCCAACCCATGATACCACTGAGGATATTTTACGTCTGCACTATGTTCGGTGCGAGCCGCATGCGAAGTTCGTATTGACCAACCATCGCTTAGAATCGAATCCGACTCACCTCATTGGAAGGTGAACGTTCTACCCGCTGAGCCACCGCGGCCCTGGGGATGAATAAAGAATTAGATAAAATTAGGGGAATTAGATTAGAAGTTAGGGGGAGTTGACTTTTCGTTTTTTTTTAGTTCAGTTGAGGATTTGTAGTGTGTTGTATTATTTAGTTTTAGGATTTATTATTTTTATTTATTTTATAACCACATCGTTGAACATCTGACCCAATGCTTACTACTAATGTTCAACACCATGACCTTGTAATTTTGAGCCCAATCCAGAAGACAAGGAAACTCCTGGATCAAGTATTAGGAGAAATTTACCTTCGTGGAAGACTTTTTTAGGGAACTAATCCGCATGCGCGTTACATGGAGAGGGAGATTACGAGAACCTTTCATGGTTAGCCTGACTGCAAAGGGAGTCTATCCCACGATCCGTCTACCACTGAGGATATTTCACGTCAGCTCTATTCGGTGCAAGCCGGAATGCGGAGTTCGTATCGATTGGGATTCGAACCCGGTCTACATCATTGGAAGGAGAACGCTCTATCCCCTGAGCCATCGCGTCTCCTAGATCCAGCTTTGGGACAAACTAGCCTTCATGAAGAACTTCTTGATAGGAACTTAAACGAATTTGCGTTGCAAGGAGGGGAAAACCCTCCACGGTTAGCCCGACGGCAAGGGGATTCTAATTCATGATGCTCCTACTACTGAGGATTTTTTAAGTCAGCATTGCGGTGGGTGCGAGCCAGGAGCAGAATTCGTATCATGCAGCTACCACTGGGATTTGAACTTGGGTCACTTAATTGAGAGGCAAGTGCTCTATTCCCTGAGGCTATCCTTAGCCACCATTTTGAAATCACTGAGAGGGATACATGGAAAAAAATAATTAGTGCTATATATCTATATTATATACCATACTACTATATATAATAAGTGAGGTATTGTTTAACACTGAATCGAATAACATTTAATTAAGAGTTTCAGAAATTGTAAGGGATTGAAACGAAGTATAAAAGAAAACATTTTTGTAATTTTTGGAGATACATTTGCTAATTGCTTCGATTTAACTAGATTATTAGGATGAGAAATAGTGAAATCAAAATTGAACAAATGATATTATCTTTTACGTATTTGTTTTGCTAAAGCAAATAAGACCAAAGTTGCTTGTTGGACTAAACACCTNTATCCTTAGCCACCATTTTGAAATCACTGAGAGGGATACATGGAAAAAAATAATTAGTGCTATATATCTATATTATATACCATACTACTATATATAATAAGTGAGGTATTGTTTAACACTGAATCGAATAACATTTAATTAAGAGTTTCAGAAATTGTAAGGGATTGAAACGAAGTATTAAAGAAAACATTTTTGTGATTTTTCGAGATATATTTGCTAATCGCTTCGAATCAACGAGATTATTAGGATGAGAAATAGCGAAATCCAAATTGAACAAATGATATAATCTTTTATGTATTTGGTATGCTAAAGCAAATAAGACCAAAGTTTGTGGGACTAAACACCCCTAAAGAGCACTCCTGTGGCAAAATTTTTTCGAGCTATCTCTAATATCTTTATGCAAGATACTTGTAACAAACATATATGCTACTCATTTAAAATAACAAAAGCGCTGTGTTTACAATATATATATATATATATATATATATATAATTGTTTTTAATTGAACTTGTAATAATTTTTTATTCTAATATTGTGGGTGATATTCTCGCATATTGCAGACGCACTCACTATTTTCTCCTTCGCATTTTGTAAATAATCATCCCGGTAAAAAAATAATTAAAAATCATGAAATCCGAAAAAAAAAGATTGACGACGAAATCACGTAAATCAGACTGCTGAAATACGTGTTTCGCTTTGAGATTAGGTTGTTGTTATAGTATAAAAATATCGGATCTTAAAATTATGGAGAAATCAATTGCAATAACTGCCAAAAAATTCGATACAGTTATTGTCTTAAAAAGTAAATATTCAATAGCACGATTCGAATTTTCCATATTGTTTGAAATATATCGGGATATTTAAAAACCACGTGAAAACCAATATCAATAAACGACCGAAAATGCAATCGAAACATTATATCGATTTACGATACTACTGAGCGCATCAAAAGGTGATTATCCAAATGCATGATTCAAAGAGTAAGTGTAAATTTCTGTAGAAAAGGAAAGTAAAATCTTTAACTTTTCAAAATAAAAATCTTTCTGCATGAACTCTGTAACGTTCTGCGACGATGTCTCCATATTCTGCTACGGGGAAAAGCTCTGTTTTGTAATTATAACTACTTTTATTATAATTAGTTTTGGATTCTGTGTATTGTTTTACGTTGCATTGTTTTACGCTGCATTGTTTCGTTGCTGTATTGTTTCATTGTTTTACTCTGAATCGTACGAGATTGAAACTAAATCGATGGATCAATAGTTAGAACAAATTCTAATATAATTTTTAAGTTGTTCTTTTTTACGCGTAATACCCCAATAACTTTGAAGGTTCTATTGAATTAGTTTTTATTTTATTGAATTTACAGTAAAACAGAATAAGCGTTGCTTCACTTGTCTAGACGCATAATTAAGGAAGAATTAAAAAAATTGTGTCGATGGTGTATCAAACTTTTTTTAACTTTCTTTTAAACTTAACTTTTTTAAAACTTTTATAACTATTGGCCCTCATGCAAATCAGCATTAAAAAATACATAAGGTTCAATAGTTTTGCATGCGTAACAATATCAGAGGTGTACAAAAATATACTTTTTATACACAAAAACTTATGAGCTTTTCGTCTTATCGACTTTGTTTTGATCTCATTCGATTTGACACAAAAATGCACAGACAGGGTTAGAGTTCACTGGCAGCCGCGCTAACCGTTGGTGGTTTTCGTGGTTTTCCTCTCCATGTAACGGCAAATGCTGATTAGTCCTATCAAAATGTCCTCCACGAAAGCAAAATTTCTCTCAATATTTGATCCTAGAGTTACAATTTAAAAAAAGTTATATTTAGCATAAATTTAACTAAATATAGTTAACTAACTAAACTTCTATAGTTTATAATTTAATTAAGTATAGTGGAATAGTTGAGTTAAAATTGCTACGAAATTTTTTGATAAAAAATCAATAAACTGTTTTCTTATAAGCTACTTACATAAAATTAATAATCATAAAATTTTTTCCCTGTATTATATGTAGATAGAATGATTTTATTAACATTTTCCCTTTTCATTAAATCAGCTTTTTAGAGTTTTAAAAAAGAAACTAAAAAATTCTTAGACATGAAAAATTATTGAGGAAGGGGACACGTGTCCCATTTTTAATTAGTGACGCTATACGAAAATAGTTTGAATCAAATTATTTCATTTTTTATGATTCATACTTTCTAAATCTGTTATAACTTTACAACTATTTATCTTTTCATTTTCTGTTTCACTCTCTGCTACTGCAGTTTTTCTAGTTTTGTGGCCTTATTGCCCGCCTTTTTGCGTTTTATATTTTAAACCTATTTTTGCGAAACTAAACGACTTTTATTACTCTTAAAATTTTTTAAAGGCGATGTAAATTTTAATCAAGTATATTTTCCGCTTTCACATGTATATATATTTATAAATGCTAAATCAATTGGTGATAAAAGGGAAAATTTTTTAGAAAAAGTATTTTTTTGAATGAATTCTAGTAATTGAAAGTAATTAATATTCTGAAAATATATTTTTCAATATATAAATTTAGTGCTAGAACACTAACGTTTATATAAAAATTATTATATTTGCCACCCACTTGACGAAATGGGGAAAAAGTTATTACCAAACTTTTAGACATATTTCCGATTAATTTTTTGCTCATATTTATATTTTCATAGTTTTAGAGTCCTTGACACGGTTCCCTGTAGAAAACCAAAGTCAAGCATCACTGGTTGCTATCAGCAAACGGGTGGGTGACCACTTTGATCAGCGTGCGTAGTAATCAAGGGTGTGCGGTATCGGTTCTCGTTAAACTGCTGTTTTGACGTAAAGAGCTCGACTTCGCGCGCAGGTCGTCGGGCTATCAAAGCAGGGGTGCCATCCCCTTTGCAGAGGATCAAAATTGCGATTTCATGTCTTCGGATCATCTTTAGGGATGTTCCCCTGACCGTCGCCAATAGCCCATTGTGCAGGTTATAGTGTGACGTCAATAAAGTACCTACCTATCATGGTTTCAGGCTACTAAAAGCAACTATTTTGTTCATTTTTTTCTGTGGCAATTTTGATATCCGGTCAAAACCACCGAGTTTAAAATAAATTCCTGTTTCCCCCTAATCCCGAATGCATTTTAGCATTTGAGATTAGGGAGAAGGTGAGCATAATTCCCCCTAATGCACTCTTATTGTATGTGTAACTCGTTCTGAGCTTTTTTTATATGCCCTCTCATCTAGCACCAATTAAAGGGTCTCATATAAACACTCAGACTTTTTCACATGAAGCAATTTTGAACCATTATATACCCTCACCATGGAAAAAAAAACTGATTGAGTTGAAATAGTTTCTTATCAGAAAGTGGAATGAAAAACAAAATTCTACGGTTGAATAACTTTTCTTCATCTAATAACTCTTTTTTTATTTACTCAAGATTTGCGATCTCTCCTCTTAAGTTTTTTTTAAATCTTCTTCTCAACTTCTCTTTAGTTTTATTAAATAGTGTCTCATTTTTCTAATATTTAGATTATTTTATGGTGAGCATTATTGCTAAAATGCATTCAAAAATTTCATCAATGCAGTTCTAATGAATATTTTTTTTTGGTTAATGGCGGGCACTTGGGTCTATTTCCCATTGACCTCAGAAATGCCCAGGGCTAAAGAGAATAAAAGGGCTAGTTCACTCCGCTCTTAGAGCTGAAGCTACGATTTCCCTCCTCATGACGTCACTGTGTCCACAGATCTCGGAGATCGCAAGCAAAGATATGATAACTTTGCATCTTTCTCTTTGTAAAAATAAGTTAGACTTTTTCTGGTTATTAGCCTTCAAACTTTACGTAATTAACACATTATTTCCGTTCATAAACATAGTTCAAAAAAAACTTTCTTGGTTATTATATTAAAAAAATACCATTTTAAACTTATAAAAATGTTTTGCTAGTTGGTGAAAATGACACGATAAATACTTTATTTTAAAAAGTTCAGTTTTAACTTTAACTATTAAGAAAAATGAAGGCATATATCGACACTTTTTTTATCTACATATTCTTTTATAACGATAAGTTAAGTTAAATTTAGAATCCCTGATTTTAAAATATGTCGTTAATAGCAATTTGTTCATACTTAATCATTAGGAAACATCAACCTTAAACGCTAATTACGGAAACAAAATAATAATTTAGGTTCATAATGACATTAGAAATTTTACGATTGTTTATAGACATTTAAATTTACGATGATATAATTTATAGCTATTTAAATTGAAGGGAAAATAATATTTTAAAAAAATAATAAATATTTAGAATAACTACGTTGAAAAATATTTTATGAAATTAGGAGAATTTCAACTATATACTATATATTTTATTTATACTTTTTATTTACATTTTAAATTTCTTTGACTTTATCCATTTTTTAATTCTTTTCACTGCCTTTCTTTTTGAAGTAACGAGGCTGTTTCTATTTAGATAATGAATTTTTAGAAAAATTCTTAACGACAGAATAAACGTATTGCTGTTTTATATTAACTGTGTCATTTCGGAATCCATTCTTTACATAGTTGTTCATTTACTTTAGGGAACACGCGAAAAATTATACTTTTTCCTTTTGTTTTTATATCAGAATTTTTGCAAGTTGCAATCGCGCAAACTGGCATTTCGATAATAGTTTTAAATTCTTGTAAATTCACTGCAAAAACTGAGGAAAGTCATTATAGAAAATAACAAATGTCTTAGAATATCTTGCAAAAAGAAATGATCCAATATTAGTTAGAGCTATTAAGGCTGAACGCTCCCTTCTAGAAGTATAAGTGCGAGCTTTGCGCCAAAGTGACGTCACTAGAGAAAATCTGAGGATTGGCGCGGCGAGAACTACTTCAAAGGAGTGAACCAGCCCTTCTATTCTCTTTAGCCCTGAGAAATGCCAGAATTGCACTCTCTTATCGTTACCTAGTGGGCACCTATATATCTTATTATGGTGGCTATAATATAATCAAGAGAAGAGTTTTTTTTTTGTCAGAAACTAGTTATTTTATCATGCTCATTTGAAGTCTTCGAAAATTATTTAGCATTTTGTTAAGGTATATAGTGCTTAAAAATACTGTTTGAGCTCTTGAAATGTACTTAAAAGGGGCTTATTTTTGCGGAAAAATTAGGGCCACGCACCCTGAAAAAAACTATTTCTATGAAAACATCTGCGCGAAAAATAACGAGTGCTAATTTGTGTTTTTTTTTCTTTTTCAGAATAAGAATTCAAGAAGACGCATCGGTTGAAAATAGCAGTTCTATGGTAATCATTCAAAATACGGCAGCTGAAGATACCGGTTTATACATATGTACAGCCAGAAATACATATGGACAGAGTCAAGCAACCCTCAGATTAAGGGTTGTAGGTCAGTATCATTTCACTTAATACATGGATTATTATATGGAACTTCAGCACTAATTATTTTAAAAGCAATTTATAAATGAAGTTTACAACTGTTGTTGTCGTTGGCAAGGGGTGCGATTGCTCTTGTTTTCCAGTGGCGCCATCTGTGTCAAAGAATTTGACTTTTGCCACACTCATACGTCGCACCCCTTTATGGGGCGAACCCATTCATACATCCATTCCTTCATCCGCAGATTGTAATTTTGACCTGAATTCAGAAAACGATCCACCTCCAATTCAGTACCCCCAGGGGTATAATTCGTTATGGGATCATGAGAGACTTTGTGACCTGACAGATTTAACGTACACCAGTCACACTTCATTACACGGGGAGTCTTCGGCCGGCTGGATTCGAACAAGAGTTCAGCGGCTTGCTAATCAGGCTCTCCCGGCCTCGAAGTTACAGAGGCTAAATCTTTAAAAAGGCTAATACCATCCGTCAGACGATTTTATATGCAAAGATATCAGGTGCAAAAAATGTTTAGTCGATGATATTATTCAAATCCTTTTTTCTTATCTTTCCTGTAACGGGTATAGTTTATGTAAAGTAAGAACTTCCCTAGCTCCATTCGTCTGGATTCGTGGCGGTGACTACAGTAACGAGGTATAACGAGAGTGAAGAGAAGCTACCCTCCCTGAAATGCACAATTCTTGTTTCCATAGCAGCAGGCAGCCTCAGAGTTTGTGGCGGGGGGAGTTCTTACCGCAGACAAACAATATATATATACAATGCTTACACAATGAACATTTATTTGCAGAGATACCAAGCACTCCCTTGGATTTTCAGGTTCTTGAAGTTTGGTGCAAAAGTATGAGACTGAGATGGAAACAACCCTACAATGGAAACAGTCCTTTGAAATATTACATTATTCGCTATAAACTGAAAGACTGTGAGTTTTTATTTTTCGTATAAAAATATGACATAAATTTATTGAAAAAAAGATCTTAACTGGGACAGGGTTGCCACTCTACAGGGAGAATCGGGAGAACCTAGAAAATACAGGTAATTTAAAAAATCACCTAAATTAAGAGTAAATTTTGATTTTTTTTTTTTTTTGAAACTGGGAAAATACAGGGAATTTTGTTTCTCATTTTCGTCTTTTAAAAAAAGGTTACCCACTCTAAGTGCAATCTATGGGATATTAAGGGTGATATTTCAGCTTTTTTGAACTTGTTGTAGGGTAGTTCATTTACGTCGCACTGGAGCTGCTTATTGGGCTACTGGTAACGGGGAAACATTCCTGAGGATAATCCGTAGACAAGCCATCACAATTTTGATCCTCTGCAAAGGAGATAGCACCCCTGCTTCGGTAGCACGACGACCTGCTCGCGAAGTCGAGCACTTTACGGTAGAACAGTTTCACGAGGACTCATACCGCACACCCTCGGTCCCTACGAAGACTGATCCAAGTAGTCACCCACCCTCACACTGACTACAGTCAGTGATGCTTGAGTTCGAAGATCTGCTGGGAACCGTATCTTAACGATCTGTCCACTGCGGAACGCTATATTAAACTAGTTCATTTAGTATAGCATTATGTGTTTTAAGTATGTTCAGTTGTTTCTGATTTCTCAAAGTTATTTCTGTAATTATAACTAGTATAGTTAGCCCAATATAGCCTATAAAAGAGCACAGTGATTGTGTTTTTCTTCTTAATATATGTACAGGGAAATTTTTTCTTTCTTCAGATTTGACTGGCAACCCTGTAGGAACATTTCGTTTCTTTGAAACTAAACCATAGTAACACAAAAAAAAAAAAAAAAATCGAAAAATGAGATATTTGCGTCATTTTGTGTAAAGAAAATCACCCTATTAGAGAAACAACGTGTTATCTTCATAGTTCCATAAAATTAATTTAGAGAGCAGATAAATCGTTATCGCATTGGCGAGATTAGCATTAGCGCGGAAAGTTAGAAATCGCTCTCCTGAAAAACTTGCTTTTTTGAGTTACCCCGGTTTAGTTTCAAAGCGACGATTTGTGAATCTCTTTAAAAACATCTTCACAAAATCTTTTTTTCTTCCTTCATAGCTAAAGGGAAACCTACGGAGACGAAAGTGCCGGACTCTCAGAATTCAGTGGTGATCCGGGACTTTCGTCCATCTACCACCTACAGTTTCCAGTTGCTGGCAGTGAATGAAGTGGGAGCCAGCGGTGCCTCCTCCATGATACACGCAACCACGCGTGAGGAAGGTTCGTATCTCCTTCATTACACTCCTATTTACCCAATTTCGCGATTTAAAGATAAAGTTAATGAAGTAGATGTATAGGAAATGATGAATATCGACACAGAAGCCGATGATCTGCAGTGAAAACTTTTTTCTGATGCTTGGGAAACAGTGAAAACTTACCTAATGCAGTCAAGATGTCATTTTCTTCTCTTCAGGACGTCGAGCAAAAGAACTTTTTAAACTAAGAAATAACAAAACCTGAATCACGAAATGCTTTAAAATTTTAAATGCATCAGCACGTCATTATTCGCTGCATTTTAAGTTCAAGAATTACAAATTTAAAATTTCCATTCATTTTGTGTATTTGCTTATTAGACATGTTCGAATATTCAATGAGGATAGTCAATTTTTATTTTAATTTTGTCTCCGATATTACGAATTATCCTCGATTTAGAGAATAATATTTTCGGTCCCTATGAATTTGCTAAATCGGGATCCGACTACATGTTGTATGAAAATTATATAATAAAAACTTTATGTAATATATAATAAAAACTTTATGTAATACATATAATAAAGCATTTTGTATTTATATTTGAATATATTTTAGTCAAAACTCAGGAAGACGATCAGGGTTAAGTGTAAGAATCACATTGCTCCAAAACAGGGTATATATATATATGTATAATTGTGAGTACGGAAATTTATTTTATTAATTAATTAATTTAATTATTTTTGTTGCTAAGAGTACACTGAATATATCCTATAAATGCGGTATTTCCTCCAGAGAATAAATCTAAACTTTTCATTAAATAAAGTTCTTCAGAATAGTATTTTATGATTCTTTCAGAACCGGAGGCTGCCCCTCAAAATGTGCATGTCAAAAGTAAAGATTCTTCTGGTTTCCTCATTTCTTGGAAAGTAAGTTCTTTCGATTTATTCTTCACACTCTGCAAAGGACAGCAAAAAGGATAGTTTTTTTTCTTCTGTTAAATATAAGTAGAAAATAAGTAAATAAATAATAACAATAAAAAAGTAAAACAAATGAAATTGAAAAACCAGACTGAAATAGCGTAGTTTTTTCCCTTCCTTTTCATAAACCAACACTGGAGTGTTGCTTTATAGAAACACCGTTGCTTTGTACCTCCTATAAAGCAAGACTAGAGAATTGCGGTGCAGGAATATAAAAATAGAGCATCTTTTACTTCCTATAAAACAACATTCTAGTGTTAACCTTATAGAAATTGTGTTGCTTTATAGGACGCATGAAGCATTTTTTTAAATTTTGATTTCTAGGTAGTTGCCCCTCTTTAAATTAGCTTGGCAGTATGCGTGAACTATTAACATACACTTTAAAAGACGTCAGAAATTGCCCTAAAAATTTCTCAAGGAAAGCAATGTTTCCTCCCCCCCCCAATAACTATCATAATATTTTGTTTGAGAATTGACTACTTATTGCTCTGTAAAATATTGCAGGCAATCTGTAAGCATAGATTAAGGATAGACATTCATTTGGAAAAAAAAAGAAAAATATTTTTGTCAGCCTACTTAATCCGTTATCAGAATCTTTTTATTACAATACTTAGTTGCCTCGCAGTGGAATCATCATAAAAACATGGTTCCCAGTACGAAGTCATCATCACTGGCTGCGGTCAGTAAAGGGGTGGGTGACCACTTTGATCAGCCTACGTAGGGACCGGGGACGTGTGATATGGGTCCTCCTTAAACTGTTCTACCGAAAAGTGCTCGACTTCGAGCTCAGGCAGTCGGGCTATCAAAGCAGGGGAGCCCACCCCTCCGCAGAATGCAAAAATTGTGGTGTCATGTCTTCGGATCTTCCTCAGGGATGTTTCCTACATAGTCGCCAATAGCCCATTGGGCAGCTCTACTGCGAAATAAATAAAGTGCCTACCTGCAATACTTAGATAAAAGGAGTTGTAGTTTCAGCCATGCTCAAACTTCTAGCTCCTTTTTCGTTTTGTTAGGCACAGTGAAGCGGAATCCCGTGCATGCTCGAGTTCATGAATGAAAATAGCGAGTCCCGTGCATTAGGCGCATTAGAATTTAATAATTGTCATTCTCTTATCAAAGTGCAGAGAAGGTTTCGCCAGCGTTACTATCAATTTCAGCCAAAACAATCAAATCGTAACAATCAAAACAATTTTATTTTACTTCATAACCATCGTTGAACAGCCGACCCATTTTTTTTGGGCTTACGACTGTTAGTGTTCAACTCCGTAGCCTTGTCATTTTGAACCCAATCCAGAAGACAAGGAAACTCCTGGATCAAGTATTGGGAGAAACTTGCCTTCGTATAGGACTCTTTTTGGTGAAGTTAAGCAGCATTTGCATCACATGGAGAGGAAGACCACGAAAACTTCCCTCTGTAAGCCTGACTTCAATATTTTACGTCAACACTGTGGTCAGTGCAAGCCGGATCCAAAATTCGAATAAATTTTTTTTGAAGAATTCGCTTGCGTTGGTGACAGCTCAAATGTTTGAAAATGAATTGGACTACCACCTAGATGTTGTCTGTGTGACCAAGGGAAGTCACATAGATAATGCATGTATGCAAAATGTTTAAGTTTCTCCAACATCATTTCATTCTCTTATGGATAAATTATTTTTTATGAAATAGTTTCATTAAATAGTGAATTACCCTGTACATAAAAAGTAATTTTAAGTATACCCAAGGTAAATACTAAAATATCAAATGCTAAAAACATGTTTCTAAAATATTGAAATGCAGATAAATGTTTGAGGGGATTACGCTTCCCCCCTGCGTAATCCTGAATCATCATTTATTTGCATTTTGAAAACATTTTTTCTGCATTTGATACTTCATTGTTTATGCCAAGTTAAAATGAAATTCCCTTTTCTATCAAGTTTATTATTTTATTACTCATTATTTTATTTATTATCAAGTTTATTATTCTATCAAGTTTATTACTCATCGAGTTGATTATTTAGTGGAAAAAGAATTTACCATGAAAGGTTCTTCCCGGAAGAAAATTTTCGTCTTCAAAATCTCTTTCATTACTAATTTAAAATTCGAAAGAAGGAAAGTTCAGCAGTTTGTCATGAAGTTTCAATTGCTGAAAAAAAATATTTCAAAATGCAAGCAAATTATTCGAAGAAAACTTCTTCGTTGCGTTATCATCATATTTGCTTATTTTAAAATTTCCTTTTCAGTTTCTGGAAACTTCATGGCTTTGTCTGAACTCTTTTTTTTCCCTCTACACTTTAAATGAGTAATGAAAGAGAATCTCTTAAGACGGTTTTTATTATCTGAGATTGAAAAATGCTTACAAAGATGGAATGATTTTATTCTAGGCTCCCCCAGTGGACAAATGGAATGGTGACCTCACTGGTTTCTCCATCGGCTACAAGAAAGTGTCTCATGGTGCAACCCGCTCCCACCCATTCACCTACAAGGTATTACCTGTTGCCTTATCTCTCTCCAACCCTGGTCTCGAAGCCTCTCTCACCAGGGAGTACCACATACAAGGTCTTCAGGAATCTTCCAGTTACACGGTCGTTGTACAGGCCATGACAAGAGCAGGCATTGGACCACCCTCTGAACAAGTTCTCGTCAAGACATCCTATATTGGTAACTTTCGTTCATTTATGTTAGTGACAGATAACAAATACTTTAGTTATTTTCCTCGTTAATAGAGCTCGTTCACCCTCACTTGGCTCCGTCTTCATCACGTGGTATGCGACGATACTATTTCGATATTTTTGGGAGAAGGATGTCAACAATCCTGAACAAGGTTGCTATTTGGCTATCGTATGGCAAAAATATTTATTTCGCAATCTTCATGGGCATTTTTTTAACATTAAATATTTCGCTCTACCTTTTTTATGATATTTCTCTCTTTTGATGCCATTTTTGAGACATTTTGCTGGGAAAACAGCAGTTTTTAAATTTAAAATATATTTAATGAGATAGAAAAGGTATAATAGCGGATGATAAAGCGAAGTAAACGACAGAAGAAGAATTCACTGTTTGTGTTTGTCGCGCATTAAGGGTTGTCTCAATTTCAAGAACGGAGAAGTTTCTCTCCCGCGCTGAAATGAACTCCACGTCCGAGGAGCCAAGCGCCAACTCCTGGTGAACGAACGATATACAATTAAGTATCGTTACACTCAGTGTTATGGACTTATAGCGTCCTGAGGCACATATTAATTTGATGTTGGTCCCTCTTTTGCATTGATGACAGCCTGCACTAGTCTGGGAAGACTTTCCACCATTTTTGGATAGAAATTGACATCCATCACAGCTGAAGTGTAATGGCTACGTCATCTACGCTCTAATTCGTCTCAAAGGTGATCTATGGGATTTAAGATCGGAGAGGAACGCCCATTTCGTCAAACAACGTCTGTGCAAGCCTCGATGGGTAAATGGAAAAGAAATGGACCGAAATATTGTCATTAGAGTGCAGTTTTGTCCACATACACAACTCAAGAGTTCCAACCACAGGAAATAACAGACCCCCACACCATAATGCTTTCACCACCACAAACAACCTGGATAACTTTTGGGCAGATAGTGCACTTATTTATTATTTCCATTGTGTATAAAATTATTCAATTGCAGCAATGTATTCCAAATAAATGTACGCTTGCATCCAAATAATGCCAGCATGCTTCCAAATAAATCTCGACCAAGAAATGTTATTACCTTGTACTTCGATACTAATAATTTTTCTCAATCCATCACCAACGCCGTTGGTCACTTCGCAAGAGTAAAAACCCTCGTCTCCTTTTAGAATCGTGGACTTGGACAAAAAGTCGAGCAGATTACCACCCCTCAAATATACATTAAAACTGTGTCACTGCTCAAAACTATGCCTTTGAGATTTTTCCAATCACATTTTTCTATTAAGATTGCCTTGACTAAATTCCTATTGTCCAGGAGAAAAAAAATGTCATTCTCTTTTATTTCAGAATCTCCGCAAGTTCCCACAGTCAGCCTCCTTTTTACTGAACAAACAGTGATAACACTCACCATTGAAGAATCGACGAAAACAACAGCTCCTCCAACTCGTAAGTATACGATAACTATATCGTCATACATCTGATAATTTGAACTCACTTTTTCCTGGCAATTGAACAGTCAATAAGTTTTTCATTTTAAAAGAGTAGAAGAATAAAAAATAACTGACTGTTTCACTTCTTTTCCGGATCGGCGTGAGAAATATTAAAACGCTTTTGAAATGCTGGGAGGACTTTGTGACCCCAACCGATTTAATATGCACCAGTCACCATTTAATACAAAGGGATTCTTTGTCCGGCAGGATTCAAACTCCCGTTTTCACGAACGCGAGTCCAACACCCTACCAACCAGACTATCCCCGCACGTAACAGTCCAGATTATAAGAATGGAGCAGTTTTTTTTCCTTAGTCAGGCTGTAAGAATCATACAAAAATCAGGTTAATATAAGCAATAATAAGAAGTAGCACAGTGAGATCAATTAAAAAAATGGTCTTATTTTTTGTGTTCAGTTTTTAGTTGGAGTTATTTGCGTGGAGATGTATAGTACTGGAAAATACGATACATAAAAAGAATTCAGTTAGGTCGACCGAGGCTTATACTCCATAATTGTTGTTAACACTAAACATACCATAACCATTCAAATGACCGTTTAAGAACATTTGCATTAATTGAAAACAATTAAATGTTTACAAAATTAAATGTTGCAAAGTACAAAATTAAATGTTGTAAATGTTGCAAAATTAAATGTTTACAAAGTTAAGAGCTGCTTGACAAAAATTAAATGTTTTGGCAAGCAGCTTATATTTTGTTTTGATAGCTTTGCTTCATTTCTAACTAACTGTTAGTTTTTACCCAGAAAAATGTCGAAACAATCCAGACAGCACACGTTCTAAGAAGAAATAATATTAATTATAAGAATAATTATAAGAATTATAATTTTTATACATTCTTATAATTAAAAGAATAATGAGAAGAAATATGTTTGCGGAAAATGTACAATTAATTTCAAATAATTAATTCACTTAGTTATTTCAAATAATTTCAAACAATGATAAATTCAAATAATTTTTTGACTTTTAAATAATTATCTTCGCAATGGAAAANACTAAAAAAAAATTAGTCGAAAAAAATAATTAATCTCTTAATAAATGTACTTTTGTAGTACATATTATTTTATTTCACGTTCAAAATTATTATCAAAAACTATTTAACACAGTTCATTATAGGTTAGTAAACAATTCTTAAACTAATTTTTTTCATTGTGTGCCGTCAAATTTCGAAATCGTTAAAAGTGTGCCGCCACAAAAAAAAGGCTGAGAATCACTGTTCTATACATTCAATTAAGAAACCAAGTCTGGCGACCGGCTATGATAGAAATAGGTATATACTAAGTGTTGGCATGTTTAGTGTTAAAGAGACGATTTGCAGAAAATTGTATGTATGTAAGAAGTGTTTTTTCTCCAACAGAATACATGATGCACATCCGTGAAGGTAATGGTCATTGGATTAAAATTCCTCTCACTCCCAATCAAACAGAATACAAGGTGGGTGGTTTGATTTCTGGTGGTCAGTACAAACTCTACGTGACAGCTCGAAATGCCAATGGAGACAGTGGACCTTCCGACGTTCTCACTTTCAGAACACACCAAGAAAGTAAGTCGATTCCTAATAAATTGCAATTTCGGACGACATATATTAAAAGAAAAATTGAATGTTTTTTTTTACTAATTTCAAAAATATTTTTATAATTCAAGGGAAATGCAGTAAAACCTCGGCACATCAATATTTTGGGGACCCAATAAATATATTGATGCAGTGTAGAGAAATATATTGTTATATCAAGGGCGTTCAAACTATGATGAAACAATAAGATTTTTTTAATATTCATGTTATATATGAGCCGCTCAGAAGCCATTTTTTGATATTTTCTGATTTTTGGAAATTTTGATGAAATGAATAATAATCTTCTTAGTTATTAAAGGATTTACTCGTTGGTTACTTTTTTCTAGGTTAGACAGCCCTTTTTTTAATAGCTTCTGAATATATTGTATAATAATTTCAGGAGCCATTGTGAATAAGTCCACTTTTTATCAATATTTTTTTACATAAATTTCTTATCTTTTTCAGCTGCCAAAAGGTATAAGTCCTAAAATTTTTAAGATGCCTTCATTATTTCAATAAATACTTACGTTTTTATTTAGACATCCTGTACATATCTTGTTTTTTTGCAGAGTTTACACCTCAAAAAAAGACTTTATACACTTTTCTAATTAAATTATTAAACCAAGAATTTTAAAAACTAATGTATCAAAGAACATTAATTTTCTCAATTTTTGTGTTTTGGACTTAACCGCATTGGCTTCTGAGCGACTCATATGTATTAACTATAACTATATTTATATATGATATAAAAAATTAATTTTCAGAGTCTAAATTATGGTTAAATATTAAAAACAATTGAAATAAATTCCGAAAATAAGATCGTAAATATATCTGAAAACCGTTTTTATTGAAAATAATCCAATATTTTTGTTTGTTTATTCATTTTTTTTTACTGTTAAGTCAACCAACAAAATATCCATTGAATCCAAAGCACGAAAAGGATTTTCATTTGTGAATGGTGCTCCACCCACCCACTATAGAAAAAATTCTCTTTTACGTGTTAATGCGATGCGTGTGGTCATTTGCGACTCATGATCAGCTTTTAACATGAAGGAAACGAAATCAGACAGGAATGTTACATGTATGACTTCTTAAGAGATAAGGGATGCAATTCTGAGAAAGGAAGCTCTTGGGGTGGTCAGCAGTGAGTCTTCTCTTTTTCTTAAAAAAAGGCAATGGATGATAAAATAACATTTTTTATATAATTTGAAAACCAATTATAAATGGAGAAAATAGGGTTGAAACTTGGAAAAAAATCGTTTTTAAAGATGTTTATTGCTTCAGAGAATATCGTAATTGTGAGAGGAGGGTAACATTAATTCATATGCAAGTTCGTCGGGGCCATTATTGTTCTATCGGATATTGTAGAAGCGAACGTTCACTGTATTATGACAATTTTTCTTTTTTAAAAAAATAATATGTAAAACAGTGTTTTTGGAGAAAAACTTCACTGTTAGGATGTTTCTAATGTAGTGTCATGTGTAACAGTCCTGAATTCTTTTCGAAAAGAAGAATAAAGAAGAATAAAACAAAAAGAAAGAATAAAACAAAGAAAAATTATAGACATATGAAAAAAGGGGGGTGGGAAATAATAAGTAAAAAAAATAACAAACAACATTTTATTTAAAAAATAAATAAATAAATAAATGAAATGTTAATTAATAAAACCGGAAAAAAAGCCGGAAAAAAAAGATATAATCTTTTCTTCAGCCCACACGATTATATCCGCAAAACAGAGTGCTTTCTGATATTGTATCAATAAAGCCAAAGCAAAATATATTAATACAATAGTGTGAGGAGCACTCAAAAA